GGGATTCACTTTATCATTATCATGCGTGATGACCCAAGAAATTGAAAAGTTAGTGCAACCTTTCATGAATCTTTTCTAGCTTTTTTTAATTCTCTTCCTAATTCCAAAGCTTACAAATAGAATTGATTATTCATTAATTGATGGATTGTTTTTGTAAAGCTAAGAAAATTGTTTTGAGTTATTATCACTTGCATTCACTGTATTTTATAGTGAATTTATTTTTCTATCTTCTTTTTCTTTAATTCTATTATTGTTACAATTTCTTTTATAATAATATACATATATGAGTTGTTTCTTATACCGTAAAGTGCAAAAAGCACACATAATAAAAAATAAAAAAAACACTATGATAAAAAAAAAAAACTAAGATGTCACGATAACAAATTTTATTCAAATTTATCGATACATCGTGCATAGTTTTATAATTTTCTAAATAATTTGTTTAATTGAAGTTTAAATATGCACCATAATTTTTTTTTAGACATTCTCTTCAATAGGAATGACATAAATTTACAATGAATTCTCAATAATAATTTATTTTTTAATTATTTGTTAATTCAACAAGCATAGTTTCAAAATTGTTGGTTCTTATCAAAAATCACACATGCTAGTTTGAAATAAATCTCAACATTAAAAAAATAGAAATTAATATCAACCAATCTTATGTGCAAATGATCGAATCGTATTGGATTATGAAGCTGTCTCTATTCAAATGATTTAACTTTTATAATTAAAGGAATATTTAATTTTCTGAAATTACATGTGTTATCATTTAAAATTTATAAATATTTAGTTGTCCATGATTTATCTATTTAATATTCGTAGTTCAAAAAGTTTATTAATTGCTTATAAATATTGAAAAGATAGATGAAACAGATAAATATATAGTTACTTTCAAGCTATTATTGAGCACAAATATTGTTATTTGATGTTTTGCTGAAACAATTAACCCATTCAGATTTATAATGCGTAGTAAAAAAAATCGCTTTCTTCTAATACTGGTCGCAGTTATACAAAAAATTGTTAGTGATATAGATTTAATAATTTTTTTAATTTAATGCGTGATAAAACAATTAACCCATTCAGATTTATAATGTGTAGTGAAAAAAATCGCTCTCTTCCATTGCAGGTCCCAGTTATATAAAAAATTGTTGGTGATATAGATTTAATATTTTTTTAATTTAATGTGATATATATACATTGATCTCTTCTAATTTTTGAATTTTACTCGGCCAATACATGTTTTTTTTTATTACACCAAAATCAATATTTTTTTAAAAATTTAGTTTTGATTCATGTAGGTCTTAATTAAAATTAATAAAATCCAGAACATGATTCGAACTGCTTCGGTAGTATAATTTAATACTGTTGGACTTCTTTATGGAAGGTGTCGTTACTCGACATTTAGGAAACTTCTAAAAAACCATTACAAATTATTGTTTATTTTGTTTTATTTTTTGTTATTTACTGGAATGTGAGTTAACCAATGTTTTGAAGCATCCACCTAATATTAATGGAACTAATAAACTTAAAAATAGCATTAGTTTAGAGATTTTCAAATAAAATTTTTTTTATATTTTTAAAAAGATATCAATCACCCAAAAATACTCTTTTCAAGAAAATGTGCCACGTTTGGTTTAATCCAAAAAATTTATCTCTTAAATATTTCTAGTTTTGCCAAAATATTTCGAGTCAATTTTCAAGTTTATAACATAAGTTAAATTAAATTTTTTTATTTTTGTTTGTGGCATCATATTAAATCGATCGTCGAATCCCATTGTCAAAAGTCTCTTTAGTTCAATATCGGATCTGATTTACATGATAGATATGTCGGAGAATAACCTAATTACTAAGATGATTGATTTGAATTAATTAATAACATTAGTCCTTATTATATACGAGACTTGTTAAAATTAATCTAATATTTCTCTATATATTTTTTATGTTCTCCTTTTTCTTTTTCTTTTTTTTCTTTTTATGTCTTTTTTTTAAAATCATTTTTCTTTTATCTTTTCCGGGATTGGTAGAGAATCATCATCGGTTCTTAAAAATTAGGAGACTCGACGATCTACCCATCTATTAATTTCCTAATTATACTAGCAACTATTAAGCAATATTAAACATTAAATAAATCTGAAATTATTTCATAAGATCTTGAAACACAAGTCTAAATTATCCACTACAGTTTTAGATTTAATTAATGTTAAATAATAGGCATAAATTGAAACTTAAAAACTAAAAGAAATTTATAACTAGACATGAAATTAAATAAATTAAAATAAATAGGCAAAAGAACATCACAAATTCAAAAAAAATTACATCTAGACTAGAAATAAAAACACCAAGCATGCATAAAAATTTCAGGTTTAATTGACCTAGGAAAACTAGTTGAAATAAATCCTAGAGAAAATTAAAAGTTATTGAGACTTTGAGCTCACTGGGCTTTTGGCCCATTAGGACAAATCCACTGGACAGGTACAAGCCCAAACTTTCCAGCCTAAACACTCAAGGTCAATAAGCCCATCCCTTCTTCTTCTCTTTCAGACTAGGCTGAGCTCACCCCATGTTTTTCCTTTTTTATCTCCGGGTGGGCTGAGCTTAGCCTTTTTATTGGGCGAAGCCCAGCCCATCCCTGCTTCTCCTTTCCTGGCCCTTTTTACTTTGCCCCGATTTCCTTATTTTCGCTTCTTTTCTTTCTTTGTTTCCTGTCTGTGCCTGTGCAGGTCACGGTTCAATCGAACGCGGGCCGCCCCCCGCCGCCGGGGGGGGGGGGGGGGTGGGCTGGAAGCGGGTGGCGGGGGGAGGGATTCTCGCACGAGTTGAGACCAAAACCCAACTCGTCTAAATGAAATCGTTGGATTCTGGTTGTTTTTGCAGGTTACAGTGATGATTTTGTCGTTTCCTAATACTGGAGCTAAATTGAAATGCGATGAACGGAATGAGTTACTTGATAACTTAGGTGATGGTTGTTCAAACCTGGAACTGGAATGAGTGAACAAAGCAGATTGGTGTTGCCCGGTTCCTTCTGTTCCTTAACGTACAGAACTAGGAGGAAATCCAGTGCCCAAATCTTTCCCTCTCCCCTTTTCCTTGTTGCTTTTCTGTATTTCCATGGACTTATCAGCCTAGAATGTCTATTCTAGAACTTCAATTGTTTCTCCTAAAACCCAGAACCCCCTTTTAAACCCAGAACTGTTCTTTCTTATTGAAAACCTAGAAAACCAAAACCAAAATCAATCCTCTCTGAATCCCCCTCTTGAACAAGGCACACTGAGGCACAATTTATAGCCAAATGTCGAACGATTCACTACCCTAGGATCATTCCTTATCGATTAGAACCATTCCCCACTAAAATCTAAAACTCCAGGCGCTACTGTCCCTATTTTACCGTTTGTGAACAAAACAAATTCAGAACAAAAATGAAATGCTTGTGTGTGTGTGCATGTGGGTGTAAGTGGTGCAGGTGTATAGCACGATTCTTGGCTGGTACAATTGTCAGCCAAGAATCGTCTGTTGTGTCGCTTGTCTTCAATAGAGAAGACGATGATCAGTACAGCCAAGGGAAAAATTGATTTGGGTTGCAGCGAAAGACAAGTCGTTTGGTCAATTTTGGTCCTGTCGTTCGTTACCTAATTTCAATTTGGTCCCCACTTTTTAGCTATCACACCCTTATTTTCTCTTCAATTTCACCCCGTTGGCTTTTAATTCCAGTCCTTATTTCATTCAATTGCACCTCTATTTCATTCAATTTCAAATTTGGTTGTTTTTAACTTCAATCCTTATTCCCTTCAATCATATCCCTAATTAATTATGCCATGCAACTTTTTTCTTTTTCGTTTTTCTATTTTCCGTTTCTCATTTCTTTTGTTTTGGTTTTATCTTCCAAAATCAAAACACGATTAATATTTAATTAATAAAGCTGAATTAAAATTCATGAATCATTAATTACTATGAAAAATAAAAAATAAAATAAAGGAACTAAGTCTAATTAATTTTGAGGGTCCAAAATTGGTATGACGGAAGGGGAAAAAAAATCTTTTGGTTTTTTTTTTCTGGCTTAACCTGATAGTTTGCCCTAATGTTCGTGTTCCGGCTTCAATTTTATCTTGTATTTTCAATTTAACTGAGATCAATTATGTCGTGTTTTCAACTCAATCGAGGTCAATTATTAAAATTTGTCTGAATCAAAAGTTTGTTTTGGGTGATACAGCATTAAGCGGTTACTGTAAGAAGATAAATAAAAAAAGATTGAATTTTCATTAATCTGAATGTTTTATTCGTTGACATCTAGTTGGGAATTTTAGGGATTTGTTTAATTAGAATAGAACACAAAATTAACATCTAATTTGGGATTTTAGAGATTTTTAATTATAATATAACAAAAAATTAGGAGGAGATGTGACAGGTTAAACTTTTGTAAAAATAAAGGATGGGAGATCATTCATATCTTTGTAAAGGCAATGATTTTTCAGTTTAGGGTTATGTTCAATTTGTTTTCTTTCTTTTTAACTTTGTATTTTGTTTCGCAAGTGCTGCCCATTATTTCTTTCTTTCTTTTGTTTTTTGCTTTCTCTCTCTTTTCTAAATTGAATCTACTTATATCACATCACTCAAAATTAAGGTCCGATTTTGAATAATTTTAATAATTAGCCTCGATTGATTTAAATTGAAAAATATATAAACAGATTGATCGAATTGAAAACACAGACAAAATTGATGAACGGAAAAAACAAATGGTTCGGCATTTTTTTATAATCAGAATCAGGTAGGTATTGTATACACGCTTATGGTAATATATGCATACTTTATGATCATGCACATTCATCACTGTGAAGTAAATCCTAATGATTAAACCCTTGAGTGGAAAGTGAAGAGTCTGGCATCTCAACTGTTTTCCCTTCAGCTATCTATCTAAAGATGAACCTACAGCAATTTATACATGCTATATCCGATATCTATGATTTATACACCCTTGTTCCTCTACTAGTTAGTAGTTACCATCAATGGATAATCCCTTCCGTCGGTGAGCCATGGACATGTGCTGTAAATCCCCTTCCACCAAATACAGGACGCATGATGGCATCATCGAATTTCCGCCAGTAGTTATGGACAGTATGACTTGGGGTGGTCAGGAGCGCACGTAGACTCATTGGACGGGGAATATGATCACCACCCATGTCAGATTCTGAATCTTGTCCACTGGCAAGAAGAGGTAGATCGAGAGGCTTTAGATTTGTCGAGTCTGATGAATGTTTACTTGGCAACAAGACCCTTATAAGAGGCTTGGTCAATAATCCAAATACCTGAAATGGTGAATTAATTTTAAATTATAAAATGAATTCAGGGAAGTATGGCTTCGCAATCAAATTTGTGTGCTCCCATGTTGACCGGAGTTATGCTATAGTTGCACTTTTTTACCGAGCAAAACTAACTGGCAACTATCATCTGGCTTTGTGTGTGAGAGGGGACCTAGCTTCTGTTAAGCTTTAAGCCTTTAACTAGAAATAGGAGCACAAAGTAGAAGTTTTCAATGATGTAGATTCCAATTTAGAAGTGGAGTGGGTGGATTCTAGGGCATTTCCCTCTCATGTGTTCAAATCTCTTAAAGACAAAGAAAAGTTAACCGTAATTATGCAATCAGATGAAAACATGCAAACAGCAAGGTAAAAAGTGATTCAATACTCCACAGATAAATTAGCAGCGAGCAAAGGATCATTTCTTATCTTGGCAATCAAATGCTACAAGGACCTATAAATTATGGAGGAAAGGCTGGGATTAAACTGTATTACCAAAGACCAGCTTGCATTGTTGAAAATCAATATAAATAAGTTGAATACAGCTAAAAAGGAGAAAGTACAAAAGTTTTAAGATAAATGAACTGTTTAACCATAGAGCCGGGAGGTCTCTTACCACAGTACTGAAGAGAACGACTGTTATGGTGCTGGTAATCATGACAGCATTTCCTTGTAGTTGTGTATGCCCTGACCTAGTGAACTGCACGCAGAAAATAATACCGTATCGATTATAGGAAAACACCATCTAAACTACCCCTCTCTGTATAACTTAAGCAGAAGCATCCCCACATGAAGAGCAGACAATCACTGCAGCATGCTAGTGAGATAATCTCACCACGGGATTAAGAAATCCAGATAGCAAACAAATTAGTGGAGCAAGGGAAAAAAACTCAGTTGCTTTTGTTATTCTCATTTAATATGTTACTGTCAAGATAAGATATTCTTGCCAAAGGATGGCCGGCCCAATATCAGCATTTCACTCACGCTAGAAGGAAAAAATTGGTTTGTTTATCTTTTGGACAAGTCATATTATCATTGCCTATCTAGAATTGTGAACATTCTAAACTCATAAATCTCGCCTCAAAATTTACCTGATTATAAGCAAGTGCCATAGATACAGCTCCTCGCATAAGCCCAGCCCACCATATGACAATCTGTTTCGAGTAAAATCAACAACTCGGTAAATTGAAGGGATTGAGAAACTGGCAAGAACAAGATGAAAAAAATAAAAAATCACCTACCTGCTGCTTTAACCCAATTTTGTCACTCTTTGACTTCTTTGTCAAATTGGATATGAATGATAACGGAAATATGGAAGCTGCTCTTCCAAGCAGAACTAGCCCAAGAAGTATTGAACTCACACCAATCGACTTCCCAGGACTGTGAAAAATCAGGGTGAAATGAGATACAGAGTACATGCTATTTGCATGAGCAAATTGAAATCTCAAATGATGAACATATGACAAAACTTATCCAAATAATAATTAAAAATTATATAATATAATATTTGAAGTTTCTGAAAACAAGGGGAGAAGAAAAACAGGCAAAACATGAAAATGAGAATTAGACTCGAGTAACTATCCATACGTAGACTTGTGGGATTACCTCTTCCTCACAAATTTCCACTTCTCAATGTCCAAGGCATCCATACCAACGTATAGGAAGATGAAAATTTCTGAGATAAATGACATTGTTGCAAAAGCATGTCTGCAGTAATAAGTCTTGATAAGATTTTAATTGAGTAACATCACAACTATGAGTGACAATCAAGAAGAACGTAATGATACAACTAGGAATGGATTTCAATGTCCCGGGTAACTCTTCAAAAAAATTAACATACTTGGTAGTGACTCTTGAACTTTCAGTCACGTTATGCCAGGTGTAGTGTGACATCAAGATACCGCAAAAGAAGACAGTGAGAATGCCACTTAAATTGAACAACTGAATAACAAATAAGTTGCCAACACCTTGATTAGAACTTAAAATTGTATAACAAGTAATGCTACACAATGTTTTCAAAAAACTAGAAGAGGATTTCCATAGAGGGGCTTAATAGAAATCTCACTTCAGCCATAACATATGAAAGATAGGCCATAAGAATCATAAGAGCAACTTCACGATCAGTAGAGTGCCTGAAATTTCAGATAATTAGCTAATTTAGTCTCAATATAAAATGGAGCATTCATCTTAGATAATAGTCCTATCACTTGTTCCATATGGAAAGACATGAGATTCAACAAAACAATGAAATTTCATGTTAGATTCTGGAGAAATTCCAGCAGGGGCATACCTGTGACGGACAAGCACATTTATAAGTCCCAAGTGTTTGAGTCATTCCTTAGCCATACAAGACATTTTTGTAAAATATATTGAATTTACCTCCATATCTTAAACAATTCTCAACTCATGCAAAAATTCCGTAATGGATCATAATATCCTTTGGAGTAAATTTTAAAACTCATTATAATTTGAAAAATAAATTAAAATAGACATTCTGAAGATCATGAGAATCTGGAGGGTAGTAATTTCTGAGCAGCCAAGGCCTAGTGACAAAATTGTTGGAGACTGTAGTTAAACAATGAATCAAGAAAAGGTATAATCACTAGCCTCTAGATACCTGCCAAAGTACAACTTCTTTATGATATAAGCACTTGCTAATCCAACCTGAAAGTAAAAGAAACACAAGTGTCAGAAGATATTAGAGTTTTACACGCATGCCAACATATGCTTCTCATATATTCGAGATGTATTGAAAAAACGGTAAAAAAGATAGTGAGGATAGCTTCAAATGCGACATTATTATCTATTTCGAGAAAGAGATGCTAACTTGCTCTCTTGAAGATACTCCACCCTAAGCAAGTGGGCTTTATCGATTGCTTAGCAGATTTTCAAATTATGAACCCCAATCTTCTTATATAGGGCTGGTATGATGTATATTACAATATCTACTGAAAATTTCTTTGTGCAACACAGATTATTGTCAGGTAAGCTAACAATGGCCAGAAACATATGAGAAAAAGTAAAACCTGAAGTGGCAAACTTCAATCATAAACAACGGAAAAATAAAAGACAGCAAAATATGATAAAGCGAAATTCAAATTATCCCTCCCAAAATAAACAGAAATAAAGAAATACAGATAAAATGACATTAAACATCCATCAATCCATGGAGAGAGAGAAAGAGAAAGGCTCACTGTTATCCCAAGCAATGTGCTTGTGGCAAACAAATATAAGAAATTGCCAAGCAACTGTAAGGCGCTGCTCGAGGAGATGTGAGAGAGGTCAAACCGCAGGATTGCATTGAAAAGGACAACAGATGTGGCATCATTTACCACTCCTTCCCCAAAGACTAGACTGTACAGTAAAGGTGTCTCTTCTTGATTGAGCACCTGCCACGTTAGATATAAAACTCAGCAAGGAATGTTCATCAAGTTTTGATAAAAAATAAAAAATAAAAAAGGAAGTATTTATACCTGCAAGGTGCAAACAGAATCTGTGGCCGAAAAGATCGCTCCCAAACCTAAAATGAGGGAAGTGAACGTAATCTTAAGAAAATTAGAGCAGAAGATATTACCCTACCAAAAACACAGAATTGAAGTGCATGCATTAAGTTTTCATGCTTAAGAGAATCTTTCTAAGAAGGATAGTGGTGAAATCAAGACAACAAATTATGAGCTAGAAGAACAGTCCAGGTCATAAATGCAAGCATGTACATGTAATTCTACAACTTAAAATAGGAAGAAATTTTTTGTTTGCTCCTCCAGTGAATACGTCATAAAACAGCATCCATGTCAAGATAAAAAATAAGCAATCAAGTTAAGATAGCTCATACCTAGATAATCCATTGTGTCCAAGAAACCAATATCCAATTTCTTGAATAAATGAGCGGTACCTGGATCAACAGTCCAGAAGTTATGGCCACAATAAATCACAAACATCCTCTGAATTGGTAGCAAACAGCCTAAGCATAAATGATTAACAACCACTGCATGATTCCAGAATTTAATTTCTCTTTCAGGAAAATCTGCATCATATCTAAATTTCTGGTTAAAAGATTGATCACATAATGAAAATTAAAGAAATTGGTCAGCTACGTGTCCTTCACCTAAACATAATGCCTCCTATTGCATTACAAGTAGCAATGATTCCAATTACGAAAGCAACTCATGATTACACTCCAACGAACTAACATTTGGTCCAAAAGTATTTGGAAACATTTCTTCAACAAAAATCACAAACTATTGCATAATATAGCTGCTGGGTACTGATAGAATAAAGCACCTGAGCAATCATCGTGCTTGCTTATGCAAAGCTAAGCAAGTTAGTTAACCAAACCTTTGCAAAGTCGAAATAATGTAGCATTCGCATTCTCAAATGCTTGTAACAGATAGAGAACTTTAATTAATCAAGAATTTTGTTAAACAATATATGGGCACGCTTGGATGTTTGAAAAATAAAATACCTAGGGATATGACGATAAACGAAATTAAAGTCCCGACAGCGCCAAACAACATAATTGTCATAAAGTTTCGGAAAAACTGCTTTTTTTTCACCTGGAAACTGGTATAATCATTAAACCATCAATTTGTCAGCTCACCAAACCAAAGATAAAAGCCAAAAAAAAAAAAAACCGATAAATTGAGTGAACATGAAACACTTACCCGGCATTGAAAATGATAGGTGGGAGAAGATATATGAAGAAAAGCTCTTCATTAAATACCAAAATGTGTGACCTTTTTCCTTGAGTAGTTAGCAAGATTAAAGTGCCAGTACAGAGACCCTGGAATAAAATCAGCCAAATAAATTTGTAACTCCAAAAAAATATTTTTTAAAAAAGTAAACTAAAATAGAGAGAGAAAGGAACTGACAATGGTAAGGGCAGTGATGGACTCATTCAACCATCGATTCTTCTCGAGCAGATGACCAATCAGAATGCAAGCACAAAGGAGTACGACAAACAAGGTAATTGAATGAATTGAGGCTTCATCAGGTTGCGATGCCATCCTCAAACCCAAATTCATGTTATCAGAATTGGACTCAACCTATAACTATAATAACCGAAAAAAATTAAAACTGAAATCGATCAAATTCAACGTGATCTATCACGTAATTAAAAATACAGAGCAATTAAGGTTCCAATTTGTTAATGAATTGATAAAAAAAAAAAAAAGAACTGAGCTGAGTAACAGAATTGAGTAGGAGTAGAAACTAGAAAGACTCTTTCCTGATCTTTTTTAGTTTTTACCTTGCAGTTGCAGCCTCTTGAGATTCTCTTCGTAAAAAAGAAAGAGAAAAAAGAACGAAAGAGTTGGGAATATTTTTATCTTTTTTTAAGAAAAAGAGAGAAAACTTAAAAGCTAAGCAAGAAAATATGCTGTCCTTCCAGAATCAATGTTAAGCTAAGTAGCAGGAAACATGTGTCGCCATGTGGGTGTGGGCGTGTCTTTTACCTGAAATTGATTTATTTCCACTCCAGCAGCTCTGACTAATTTTTTCGTAGAAGAAACAAGAGAGAAGGATTGGTCAGGGTTGCTTTGATTTTGACTTTCAGATGAGAGAAAGAGAGCGAGAGTTTGTAGGAGACAGAATTTAATGCGAAGGAGAGAATCTAAATGCGAGCAGATGAAATGGTGGTTGCAAAGACCGCGAAACAGCCCGGTTTATTTATTTGGATAATTACACTATGAGTATACTAATTTTTAGCTTTTTTTCGATAGAGTATATAAATTTTATCTTTTTCATTTAAGTATATAAATTTTTCAAAATTGTCAACCGAGTGTTTTCGTCAATTTTTCTTGTCCATTATCCTTAAATACCAAATTATAATTTTAACTTTTTTCAATAGAATATGTGAACTTTAATTTTTTAATTAAATATATCAATTTTTTCAAAATTATCAATCAAACACTTTCGTTAATTTCTTCATCAATTGATGATGTGTCTAGATATCAAATAATGTTTTTTTTTCTCTTTTGTTGTAAATAACTTCTCAATTATTCTACTATTTTAAAATTTGACAAATAATTAAAAAAAATTATCTTTTAGATATAAAATCTCGAACTAAACTTAATTAAGCTTGCTTGTTAAAAAAATAAAATCATTTAGGTTTTGACCGTGAAAGTTAAAGAAAACGAAGCATGAGATTTTTCATCAAGAAAAATTATTTGTGTTTTTCTTCAATTTTCAATCTCAATTGTAATTGAGTTTTTTTTTTTTTTTTTAGCAGACAACCTAAATAAGTTTGGTTTTAAATTTTATAATTAAAAAATAATATTTGTAATTATTTGTTAAATTTTGAAATAGTAATATAACTTAGGGAGAATTTTTTTTAAAAGAAAAAGATGCAATTATAATTTTAGATTCAAATACTTCATTAGTTAATAAAAAAATTAATAAAATACTTGATTAACGGTTTTGAAAAAACTAATACACTCAATCGAAAAAATTAAAGCTCATGTACTTGATTGAAAAAAATCAAATTATAATTTGATATTTTAAAGATAACGAGATACATCATGAATTAATAATAATAAAAAAAAATTGACATAGATTCTTGATTAAAATTTTTGAAAAAATTAATATACTCAAACAAAAAAAATTAAAATTTATATACTCAATTTTAAAAAAAATTAAAAATTACTATACTTATAATATAATTATCCTTATATTTATTTGTAGATGGGTGGTTAATCAAATAATATTGAGTGTTGTGGTTCAAAAAAGTGATCGAGTCATTCAAATTTGACTTTGAGGACAATGAAGTGTTAATTAAACTCTTACATGATGTTTTGAATAGTGGATTTAGTGAATAATGAATGAGTGTGGAAAAAAATTGCCAAGGATGCATGAATTCAGTAGTTTGGAAACAAAGAAGAAAATAGGAGGAGAGAGTTCATATGATAAAATTTTCTACCATGACTCACCGTTATCAATCTCTCTAAAATGGAGAAAATTATTGAATTCAAGTCCAATTGCCGTTTTTAAAAATATGGGGCCCGATTTAATTGAACCATTGAACATTGGGGACCTCTACCGACGAAAAACCTGTTCTCGCCAATACATGGACCTAAGTTGGATTTTGTTTTTGGGTCATCTACCTATTATTACCAAACGGGCCTTGGTAAAAGGTAAGAGAGCCGTCCGAGGAAGCTGGATAGGCTACAAAGTTGGATTGTAGTACGGGGAGCTATTAAAAAAATGTAATGGAAGAAGGATTTATATTTGAGCCCTTAGAATGTTAATGAATTCATGGCCCAATTGATGCAACGATATACAGTATTCCCAAATTATACGAGGAACATAGTTAATTAAAAAAACTATAAAGGCTATGAAACTCCCAAGAAAAACTTCAAGTAAATTAAATGGAGATTTATTGACACAAAAGCTTTTAAAGGATTTTTTTCCCTTTATTGATTTTGTTGTTCTCGTTTAGCCCATGTATCACTGCACTATTAACTGAATTAGCTTTTTTATAATGTATTTGGTTTTGTTATTTTTTTCTTTTCATTGTTCATTTGGTTTGGATGGATGATTACTTTGAGAGGAATGCATACCCATGAAAAAGGTTTTTTTTTTTTTTTTTGACATTTAAATTTTTAGTTTGAATCGATTTTAAGAGGTAAACTTTTGAGTCTGTCATCAATGTATGTTTATGTAAAGTACCACACTTTTGAGTCTTAGATGGATTGAGTTAATTTTAAAATGTGAATTTTTAATTTCATCAAAAGTCCATATTTATAAATAAATAAATAAAAAGGAAAGAGATTTTTAAGAATAAGAATTCGGTGCCACAAAAAAAAGAAAAAGTTTTTTTTTTTAAAAAAAATCAAACTCCTAATTCAATAAGTCATAAGCATTTTCTTACCATTCCATCTAAAATTCTTGCAAGTGGTTTTCTGGTTCAATTTATTACTTACAATAATGATATTCCAAACCGATTGTTCACTGGCCAAAAATCATTTTTTTTCCTTTTTCTATATAGAAGAAAACGAGAATCATTTTTTCTGGTCCCCCAACTTTATGAAGATTTGCAATGTGAGGGAGAACAAGTGACCTCACAGTACTCATTGCTAATATCAGGGGTCACCAATATAAAAAAAATCTTTCTATTATATTTATTCTTTTCCAGCACTTGTCTTATGCCATAACTTTTATCTGGTGTTTGTATTTATTCTTTGACGTGGGTTTGACGTGGGTGATCTAGGATTGTTCAAATTTCACCGAGTTCGTCCTCCGAGGCTCTCTATGTGGGCTCCGAATGAGTTAAAAGTGAGAAGGTAATCTTGAATCATCTTGAAAAACATATATATAACAAGCTAATGCAAAGTTTGCACTTGACGTTGACTGCCTAACAAGTAATCCAAACACTAGAACGTTATCCAGCACGCGGAGCTTGAAATGGTTAGGTAGCGGACGAAGCTGTAAAGAAACTTAATTTTGGGAAAGACAGGCCACAAAACATGATGCGCCTGCTGGCTACCGCTACTTTTTTGGCGAAAAAACCAACCACCGCAATTAAGAGGAGGATATTTTTGACCTCCTGGTTTCTTTTGGGACGGGTAAAATGTGTCAGTCAATGCGCCAAGCCAATGAGATAAAAAGAACGTGTATGGTTTCTTAGTGCTCAGTACAATCCTAATTTGATAAGCAGCCTGCTGGAGGTGAGCTCATATGCATCATGAACGGCATCTCTAAGATATAATTAACAATCGACAGGACTAAATGGAACAAAAAGAGAAAAAAGAAGAGATCACGAGGATAACTTAACTTAAGAAACTAAAGGTTGTGTGTGATTTATATTAATAAAAGAAGAAGAAGAAGAAGATATTTTTGCAAGATAGTGTGCAACAGCTCCAATTTAAAAAGTAAAATATCGTTAAATTATAGACCTGAACAAAGGGGAGCATCAATCAATATGTTAAGAAACTAATCAAATTCGAGAAACACTCTTCATAGATCGATGAAAGTGGTTATGTTATGGAGGTCAATGCAAAATCCAGCTCAAATAATGATAATAAAGTGACAGCAATTAAATCTTGAATATTTTAACGAACAAGAAGAAATAAATCTTCAATATGTGCATGCCTCAATGTTTCCAGGACTTTAATGTCCTTCGCTTTCTTTTGTATGATGGCTACCGAACTTGATTAGACAGATTACAAAAGATAGCAGTAATTTGCAGTTTTTTGCTTTACTTACGTGTTACAATGTATATAACAATCCAAAAAGAAAGTGAAGTCAACTACAGGTTGTGGATTCCTACCAAAAAAAAAAGAAAAAAGAAACTATATAGCATTATGAATTTATGCCGGGGGTGAGCAAATTAAGAACGGACGACACGCAAGTACGATCATATAGAGTATGTATAAATAAAAAAGGTAAGAGAGGTTCCTGTCGGTTTACCATATGATTTCATTGTCTTGTTACTTCTTAGCTCATGTAAATTAAAGCTTTCTTTTCTCTTTTCTTTCCTTGCTTCATATGCTCTGCATTTGCTTTAAGACAAGACAGATAGAAAGAGAGGTAAAGTTAGTGTGAAGTTGAGTTGATAGGAAGGTTAGGTCGGTTCTAGGATTAGACTTTGTTGCCACCCTCTAGACAGGCCAGTTTAGTTTTAGTTTTATAGGCTTGCCCCAAGATCCCACTAAGTATTGGGCGAAAATTACGTTAAATAGTTTTTTTAAATTATTTAGTAATTAATTTTATTCTTTTTTTGCTAAAAAGCTCTACAAAGGAAAAACACAATCTACGAAGACAGAAAAAAGCCCAACGCGGTAAAAATATCATATTGATATTACCTTTTATTCATGTGCTTTTTTCTAAAAAAAATTGAATCCTTATTATCAATAAGTTCATTGTAACATATGCTTGTGATTTTTTTATATGTATTTTTAACATTCCATTTTATTAAAGGCAAATACAATGCAATAATAAATAGCCCAGTTTAATTAATATATATGAATCGCTCAAAGATTAAAAAATGATATAATAATATTTATGGGGAAAATTAAAAACAAAATTAATTTTGAAAAATTTGAAAAAAAAAAGTTGAGTGAGTAACAAACAAACAAAAAGAAAAAAAAAGGACGCCTGTGCTGAGCATGGGCTTAGCTTGCTGTGTCAAGAAAACACAAGTAAGAGAGGACGACACGTCGAATCCTACAATTGCACGGAGTCTCCAGTCATTTCGCGTAACCTCTGTCATCCATTGCAAAATTTGTACATGTAAAAGCGTGGACGCTTTATTTTTCTGGCGACCCAAGCTAAAGTTAGATGAATCATTCTACTCTTCCGTGCTTGCAGGTTAATTTTGCTATTTTACCGATGAATTTGAAATGGCTGATGCATCTTCCAAGTAGCTTTCAGAAAAAGTTTAGCTAAGAGGAAATTTTAGATACTTCAATAATATTGTCATTTCTCCATTGACGTAAAAATGAAACTCATGGATGTTTACTTCGATAATATTTAAAGCTATTTCTCTTGTAGCCAAAATCTTAAACAAGTTTTTTTAATTCTATTCTCAAAATTTATAGCTAGGAATATTATTTTGACAAATAGAGGAAACACGCTTCGGTGACCTAGTTAAATGAAAAGAAAACGGCTTATTTTATCATATACCCATCCCATGTGAAACAGGCACCAGAATGTGGTCCTTCTATTGGCAGTAAAAACAAAAAAAAAATCTCCAAGGTGTGGTCCATGGGAACACTTTAGGAAGGAGTGGAATATCGACAATTTTGACCGTGAAGAATGGAAATGAAATTTCTCAAATTTTTGGCTTGCCATTGATATAGCCGGGCGCGTACCAGGTTTTGCAATGCCAAATTTCTGTGGCTGTGGGGTGCAGATGTTGACAGTCTGTCACCATATGTACATAGTTGAGACTTGAGAGTGGTCATCTATGGCTTTATTACAACTAGATCTATCGAATAGGGATTCAAGCTTAAGGTCATGGTCGTCCCAAGTGCTATTGCTGTACAATATACAATATGTAATTGGGTTAATATCCTCTCACGAAAAAACGTCCTTGTAATATCGAATAGATCAGAGAGAACGCAAAGGAAATATATGGGCAGTCTGCCATTAAGGTTGTCTTTTTTTATGTCGATTCCACCTTGAATTCTTGAGAGACTGAGAGGCATGCATGCATGTGCCTGCTTCTTTCTCTATGGTCGTTTGAGCTATGCCTTAATTTGCTTCGCGGTGTTGCGTGTTTAATAAATATTGCTTTTGGTTTTTGGATCCTTGAAGGAAGCACTTATATAAACATAATTAGCGTAGGTAACGAAAATAAGAGATAAAAAAGGAAAAAGGAAAGAAAAACATCAAACCCAATTAAAGACACCCAGCTCTCTATCTTCTACTTCTTTCTTAATTAAACAACTAGTTATTTGTTATATATTATTGTTTGGTTTATTGTATTATAAAAACACCAATCATATACGTTTTAATCTTTTTGACATATTTTTTAAAATATATATAAAAAATACATTGACTATATTTATGATTACAATTTTAACACGGAAGTCATTTTTTGTACAAGATTTCAAGTTTACCCGACATGGCATAATATGTAAAATAACACATTAGATGAAAGTCCAAATAGGATGACACGTGGACAACAATTATAATTCAGTTGGGCTTCTTGTTCGTTGTGCACAAATAAGAGAAGAAGATTGAAGTTCTTGTTCGTCGGTCAAAAAAGAGAAGAAGATTTGGGACTTGGGCTAACTTGTTTCTTGATCGAGCAAAGAAGAGAAGAGAAGAAATTAGGGATTTGTTTTTTTCTATTGAGACTTGAATTGAATTAAATTAGATTAGTTTTAGGAATTGATTTTGAATAAATAGACGGACGACATGTCGTCCGTCTATTTATTCAAAATCAATTCCTAAAACTGAATTATAATTGTTATCCATATGTCATCCTATATAGACTTTCATCAAATGTGTTATCTTATGTATCATGTCATGTCGTCCATCTATTTATTCAAAATCAATTCCTAATTCAATTATAATTGTTATCCATGTGTCATTCTATATAGACTTTCATCAAATGTGTTATCTTATGTATCATGTCACGTCATATGAATTTTGAATCTTGAACGAAAAATGGCTCTCGTATTAAAATTGTTATAAAAAACATACTTCATGTATTTTTCATATGCTTTTGAAAGAACGTGACGTAAAGATTAAAAGATGCATAGTTCGTGTTCTTACGATACAATAATCTTTCTTGTTTTTTTGTGGATTGTAGTTAGTACATATATTGTCAACGCATCTAATTTGATTGAATTCCTATATAAATAAATAAATTTGGTATACAATTTTTAAGATTAGAGTTTTATTATAATTTAATTGTATTAATTTATTTATTAAGTGAATTAAACATGGATACATCTAGATCTAATCCAATCCAAAACTAATATCAATATTATTTTTAATAAATAAAATATTTTAAAAAGAATTAAAATAAATAAATATTAAAAAATAAAAAAAAATGACATTGGGTTTAGATTCGGAGTTTATCTACTTACCGATTTTTTTTTCTACGTTGACGCAATTTTTACAAATAATCACATGATAATTTTTTTCTATTATATTTCAAGTTTCAAATTAACTTTATAAAAAACACTACAATGTATGGAAAAAAATAAATTAATAAGTTGTTATTAGCATTATATATATATTTTTTAATTTATAAAATCTTAATTCAATCTAATTTTTTATTCATTTCAAGCTTATTATTTGTAAAACATTGAGATTTTTTTTCATACCAATCATGTTGCACCAAGAGTAGGCATTTTTACTATATTTTTTTAACTTGGTCATACTTCTTTCTTAATTTAAATTAGTTTTGACATTTAATATAAGTTTTTTATTGAGATTATTTGATTTTTTTTAATAAAAAAATTATTTTACATCGACGAATGATTTTAAATACAACAATATTATTTATTTAAAAAATATTAAATAATAGATTCGATAAATATATAAATATTATTCGCATCCTAATGCGAATCGATAATTAGAAAATCCAAATTCGAACTAAATCTTAAACAATTGGTGCTTGTTACTTCTAGGTGTAGTTGCTTCCTTGACGGAATGTACTTATTGACATATCAATGTAGTTTTGTAATTCTTTCTCGTGATTTGGAATTTTTAGTTTGCTGAAATTTCTCTGCAAAATTTTCATGTACACTGGAATTTTGGTTGCATGAAACTTGATATTATTGAATCAATTTTGCTAGGGATAGAAATAGGGGTTGGCTGGGCGCCTTTATGGACGGGTTGATGTTTTCTTTTTTTATTTCTTGATTTCGTTTATTACTCCAAAACCAATTTCTTAATTTTGCATGAAATGGGAGTATGTTAATTGTCTTTTAATTTTCAGTAATCCAATTAACTTTTTTTCTTTTTTCGCACTTAAGGAGAGAGAAGCTAGAAAATACGGGACCTATACCAATAAAAATAAAATTTAACAGTTCAGTTAATAATTGCCATGAGCAAGAAAACCAATGATGTCTACGGACCATATGAAGAACGGAAGAACTAAAAGTGTTAATAGCATCTGCAACTGTGATTTCTACTTTTAGCTAATATTTTTTTTATGTAGATAGAGAGTATTATTAATTATATAGATTGAAGATCAATATTTTTCTTCAATGTTACTTTCAATTTTAACTCTTTATTTTGATAAAATCTATAAAATTCAAAAGATTATTGGTGAAGAGAGTCGAGTAATATAAGAAATAGTAATTTTCATTAATGAAACATAGGATAAAAAGTCATTTGGATTACGTAGTATTGCAGAACCAAAGACACTTAATATTTCAATTTTAAAAATAAAAATTGTGATAAAGAGAATATTGAAGATGAAATTGGATCAAATCTCTTTATTATAAAGAAAAATTTTAATATAAAGAGAATATTGAAGATGTTCTAACAGATTTATAGTATAGGATTTGGATTAAAAAGTTTTAAAGACGAGCTAACTACAAGGTTCGGACTAAAAAAATTAAAAGATGAGAACCCCATTAAGACTTTATCGGTAATAAAAATGCTCCTAAGCTCATCTACCCATTAAACAAACAACCAACCCTTCTCTTGCTTTTTTCTCTCTCGGTAGAAATGATAACAAAGTGGTTGATTGGCTGTTCAGAACTGCAAGGTTGCTTATTGTATGTTGTGGTGGGTTTTCAATCCTCACTCTCAGTTCTATGACACGTGTGTAATTAATTGATTTTAGTCATGAAAGTCGTGGATGGGTTTTCTGTTGTTCAAAAAAAGATGCAGGACAGACGGATAATTATTTGTTGATACATTAACTTCTCATATTCTCTCAATCCAGTAGATTACTTTTAATTTTTCCATTTGAATAGACTATGTTTTTTTTCAAAATTTGATTTCAATTTATAAATGGATAGGATCTTAATCCAAATTTGACGCAATTAATATTTTTTAATTCAAATCGAATTATAATCCAAATTCATTAAATTTATTAAATTAATCAAATTTGAATCAGCAATGATCCGATATGATAATAATCTAACTCGAATTAACAATAACATTTTTATAATAAATACAATATTTTTAAATTATTAAAATTTTAAATATGAAAAAAATATAAATATAAAACTAGCTTAAAATTTAAATTTTATTTATCATAGAGTTCAAATAAAGTATATCCTGACACAATGACGGATGTATTTTTTAAAAAATCATCTTCTCATTTTTTAAATTCAATTTCGTAAAAACATTATATATTGACTTTTATGCTTTTTCAAAAAATTGATATTATTATATTTGTAATCATCTTATTTTCGGTACAATGTGAACAAAAAATAAAAAATAAAAAAATATTTATTATTTATTTTTTTACTTTTATTATACTTCCTAACTAGTTCAAGATAAATTTTTATTAATATTATTTGATTTCATTTTTTTTTTTGAATTGTATGGTATTTTGATTTTTTTATAAATTTGATAGATGAAATATTAACTTAATATATATCTATTATACATGTAGTGGTTGAAATATATTTTATTTTCAAATAATATATTATATGTATCAAGTATGAATTTATTACAAAAATCAAATGATAAATTCATTAAAACTTCAAATTCGATCTGAATACGTTAGGATTGAAATCTAAATTCACATTTTTAAAATTTGGTTCGAATTAATAAGGTTTGATTTGATTTATTTTGTTAATCAAATCGAATCTGAATTTGCTATGATTAGATATGAGTTCCATCCCTTGATAACCCTGCATTCGACTGATATAAATGGCTATGGAGCTATCTTTGACATTTCTTGCGGAAAAAGTGAATTATTGATATATTAATTCTTATTATTTTTTCAATTTAGTATATAAATTTTAATTATTTTTTTTGTTCTGATACACTAATGTTTTCTATTGTGCCAATCAAGTTTTAAAATAAAAATTCCTTATTTCATAATAATCTATAATTGAGGTCATTTTTTCATTTTTCAAGAGTTTGGGCATTCTAGAATTTTTATTAGGCGTTGCATCAATTTTTTGATTCCTTTCTATAAAAATGAATTAGTTATTTGATATAATGATGAGTTATAGGAATTTATTTTTTATTGAGTGCACACTAATCTCTTTTTATAATTTTGTATTTCATGTTTGTTATTTATTTTATTTTATTTTGTAATCTCATCCTCTCTTAATTTTTTTCTTTATATTAAATTATTAGTTTTAAATAGATTTTCTATTTTATTATTTATCTTTAATCTAACAAGTAACATATGTCAATTGGAGAATCGTCAAGATTGGTCGATTGATGAACTTTGGGTTAATCTAACAGATCAAAGGGAGGAACGTGCCTATTCAGCCGATGAGTACGAGGATTGATTTGATCAGCTTTACTTACGGAGGCTGGTTTGAATAAATTTATATAACAGAGGGACTTTATGTAATTTTGGCCAATAGAAGTATAAAAATAAAACGAGTAATTATTCAGCATATCGGCAAATTAACTCTTCATTCCCACAAAATATGATCCTATGAATTATATTTACAACAAGTCTCATATATTTATAACATCACCTTACATACAACTCGTGCGTATTTAATAATTTGTCAATACAAGGAGTGCAAGTCGAGACAATGCTTTTACGGCTGGTCGTGGATAAGGACTCCTGCCTAAGAGGCTGGCTATCCAACGATGAAGATCTTCCTTCTTCTTTTGAACTTATGATCTTGACCGTCAGTTTTGTTTACAGCAGCTTTTTCAGGCATAAAAAGAACAGGTTTATGGCCTCCACGCTGATTGAGACAGCACTACTACCCATAGTCTCATTTCCTTCTCCCAGACTTACAACAATAGCCTCCATTTCTTGGAAGGAACAGAAAATTGCGGGAGGCAGATACTGGGGCGTTTCCGTCATCATATCCATCGAAAGGAAAGATTCATTTATGATGCATCTGAGATGATATGTAGAAAATGATTTTGTTTTTCTTTTCGGTTTAGTTCAGTCTCCGTTTGTTTGGCCAAAAATAAGATGATCACCGTCGTCCGGTGAAGGAATGAATCACTCCGGTGGCAATTTCGACTATTTGTGAAATACATTTCTATTACTCCATGTAGGAGTCAAATATGATTGACGTCGATTTTGTCATCATAAATGAAATATTACACCAGGATCATACGATTCCTCATTACTTGCATCTTCACGTTGGCCGTGGTCCCCTCCATATCCCGATCCCTCAGATCCAGCCGTGCAATGCGATTCATGAGATTCCATCTCCACCCTAGACATCATCACATTTATTACTCATATTTCTCTGCCTCCTTCTCACGATAAATTAAAAGACCTGACCATCTCGCCAGGCCTATCGCAACCCAAACTAACAGATAAGACCATTGCCCTTTTCTTTTTCCCACCGCTCATCCAACGGCCAACCTCAACCAGTCTCCACGTGTCGCAATCTCACTAGACTAACTCACTGTTTTACCGTAGTTATTTAAAATCTAACCTCATCTCCATCACTCTTAAAAAAAAAAACCAGTGCTTCTCTCCTTCCCTCCGTCCCTCGCTCTCTGCAAATCTCTGGTTTCCATACGGAACTGAAGTGAATTTCGTCTCTATCTCAGTTAATAAACGGCATCGTTTGCTTAGGCATTGATAATGTTGAGAACGGCGAGTTCGTTTCCGGAGGAAGTGCTAGAGCATGTGTTGTCGTTTATTACAAACGACAAAGACAGGAACGCAGTCTCGGTGGTGTGCAAGTCGTGGTACGAGATAGAGAGGTGGTCTAGGAAGATGATATTTGTTGGTAACTGTTATGCCGTGAGGCCGGAGATGGCTATAAGGAGGTTTCCGGAGCTCAGATCGGTGGAGCTCAAAGGGAAGCCGCACTTTGCGGATTTTGATTTGGTGCCGGACGGTTGGGGAGGTAGCGTTTACCCATGGATCGCGGCTTTCGCTACTGCCTATCCTTGGTTGGAAGAGATTAGGTTGAAGAGGATGGTGGTTTCCGACAAGAGTTTGGAGCTTACTGCGAAGAGTTTTAAGAATTTTAAGGTTTTGGTTCTTTCGTCTTGTGAGGGTTTCTCTACTGATGGACTTGCTGCAATTGCGGCCAATTGCAGGTTCCTTTCTTGCTGCATTCTCTCTCTTTCATTCGCTCTTCTTTGAGCTGTCTGAACTTCAAATTTGTTAATGTGATTTTGAAGTTTTTCTTTTTTCAATTTATTTATGATCATTTCTACCAAAAAAATAATCACTTAATTATGAAGACAACTTTATCAAGGAAGTCATCATTTTCAATGATAAGGACAGTGATGAAGTGCTAATTTTCTGCTAAATTATGGTTTTATCCGTTTTCTTTCTTTCATACCGTGGTTGAACTTGCTAAAATTCCTATCTTTGCGATTTTTATATTTTTAATTTAGTATATTTTCGTGTCTTGTGCGTTGTCCTCACTTAAGCATCTTGTTTGCAGGAATCTGAGGGAGCTGGATTTGCGCGAGAGTGAGGTGGATGATCGAAGTGGGCAGTGGTTGAGCCGCTTTCCTGACTCGTTTACATCACTGGTCTCTCTTAATATTTCTTGCTTAGGGGCTGAAGTGAGTTTCTCAGCTCTGGAGCGCCTGGTTGGCCGTTGTCTTGATCTGAAGATTCTCCGGCTAAACCATGCTGTGCCCCTTGACAGGCTTGCCAACCTTCTTCGCCGAGCTCCACAACTGGTTGAATTGGGCACAGGTGCTTACTCTGCTGAGTTGCAGCCTGATGTGTTATCTAACCTGACTGGTGCTTTTTCTGGATGTAAAGAACTGAAGAGCCTATCTGGGTTTTGGGACGTGGTTCCAGGTTACCTTCCAGCAGTTTATCCCGTTTGTTCTGGCTTAACATCACTGAACTTGAGGTATGCTAATATACAAGGCGCTGGTCTCATTAAGCTTGTCAGTCAATGTCCGAGTTTGCAGCGCTTATGGGTAAGTTTTACCTTGTCATTTTAAGTTTCTATCATGATTTTATTTCCGGACACCTCTTTCCTCGTGCACTTGGCGAGAGGCATAAATTTCTAGAAAGCTAGAGATTGTTGTGTCAGGAAGATGTTTGCTAGCTCAGTTGCCAATTTTTGCTTTGAAATTTTTTATACGGGAACCACGATAATTGCTGTTGCAGAACCTTGTTTGGATGTTGCTTTGCATCTACATGACTCAACTTTCGGTAGTTGTTTTTTATTCCTAAAAGAACGCAAAAATCCTGTTGTATTTTTTCATAAGCTAATAAAAGACATGACTGCAGGTGCTGGATTACATTGAAGACATTGGACTTGAAGCTCTTGCAGCATGTTGTAAGGACCTGACAGAGTTGAGGGTGTTTCCATCTGACCCATTTGGTGCAGAACCAAATGTATCCTTGACAGAAAGGGGCCTTGTCTCTGTCTCGGAGGGCTGTACCAAGCTTCAGTCAGTTCTGTACTTTTGCCGTCAAATGACTAATGCTGCCTTAGTTACAATAGCAAAGAACCGTCCAAGCATGACCTGCTTTCGTCTTTGTATTATTGAACCACGGGCGCCTGATTACCAAACACTTCAGCCTCTGGATTTGGGTTTTGGAGCCATTGTTGAAAACTACAAGGATCTTCGGCGTCTTTCCCTCTCAGGTCTACTGACTGATCGCGTGTTTGAGTACATTGGAACTTATGCCAAAAAGTTAGAGATGCTATCTGTGGCATTTGCTGGCAATAGCGATCTGGGACTTCACCATGTGTTGTCTGGGTGTGAAAACCTTTGCAAACTAGAGATTAGAGACTGCCCCTTTGGAGACAAAGCTCTTTTGGCCAATGCTGCAAAGCTGGAGACAATGCGATCCCTTTGGATGTCTTCTTGCTCGGTGAGTTTTGGAGCATGTAAGCTGCTGGGTCAGAAGATGCCCAGGCTCAATGTTGAAGTTATTGATGAGAGGGGACCTCCAGATTCAAGGCCGGAAAGCTGCCCTGTTGAGAAGCTTTACATATACAGAACAATTGCAGGGCCTAGGTTTGACATGCCTGGATTTGTTTGGACAATGGATGAAGATTCTGTATTAAGGTTTTCTTGACAGGTCTTCATATTTTATTAAGCTGCCCCTTCATGGATCAGGACCCTTGCCTGTAGAGAATGGATACAGCAGGTACATGCTCTATATGCTACTCATTGTTTCACATTTTTTTATTTTTTGTAGCTTGATATATTTGCAGCCCTGATTGGCTGTGGGATCAAGGTTTGAAGGGTATACTGAGGCTCAAGAGCTCGATTGCCATCCATTTTATTGTTGGCTGAGCTATTGGATGCCACTTAAAGATTAATAAAGAGATGAAACTTTTGTGGTTATTGTAGTATGATGTATCAATCAAAGTTGTTAAAATGGGATACTGATCGTGTATACTATTTGCAGACTTTGGCATCTTTATGCATTTATATCACCCTTTAGAACAAATTGTTTTGGTGACTCATTTGTGCCGTTGTTTGGCTTCACAAGTAATAAAGTCTCATATTCTTGTACATGGTGAGGACTTGCAATGTTGATGCATTCAACTTTTCCTAGCCTCCTGGATTCTCTTCCCATTCTTGCCCATCCTTATCCTCAACTTACTCTTAGACAAGATTGAAGAGCTCAACTGTGAATTGACATAGTTTTCACTTCAAATGCGATCAAATCTACTTCCATTTTATTATGGTTGTGTAGGTTGCCTCACACAATAAATAGCCATTAGTAACGCTATTATTAATAACAGTGAAGACCTTGATGGTGAAAGTCATAATTAATAGCAAGTGTCTTGCCTGTTATAAAACTTATAATTTAACAGCAACCTTCCTCCCTTTTAAATACGAGAGAATACCTGTGCTGTTAAATTAATATCTTTAAGGTCATCCTTTCACCTTTTGTTAACTGATGCTAAACTTACATATGCTCTTTTTATGTTTTTTTTTTTCCTTTTTAGAATGTCTTTTTTATGCTTGTTATTTCTCTTCTGATTTCTCTAGTTACTGAAATTACGTATTCTGGATTGATTTGTCTCTGCTTCCCATCTGTTTGATTTTGTGACCCTTGTTAGATGTTGATTATAGCTTTGACTAGAGATTCAAATTTTGAATCTCACCTGCCTAACCATTCGTTGAGAAATTTTTAGATCATCTGTGATGATTGCTTGGCTTCAACAATTCAAGATCAAAGCTCTTTAATTCGGATAAGCAGACTTGGAAAAGCTAGATTAGGTTGGGATGAAACTAAGAAAACAAAAAATTAGTAACTTTAACAGCTTACTCTCTTTTTGGTTGTAAGAAATCCTTGGAAAATATTTCTTGAGAAATAATGTTTGACAAAAATTGGTTTAACACAAATTTTGGTCATGGATATTTGTGTTTTTATTATGGTAGGAAGACGCCTATAGTTATATGTATTTACTTGTATAGGGTTAATAGGATAGTATTTGAAGAGATTTAGAGTTGAAATGTCCTCGTGTCAGCTTATATTCCTGAATTGAAATGCATCTTGATTATCAAATTTCCCCGTCTCTCTGTGTGTGCTTATGTTTATGTATGATGTTCACCCCTCTTCAGGTTATAATGGGTATGGTAAGAAGTAGAGCTACCACTGTAGATATGTAAATTACGAGATTTAGAATTGAAGTGCTTTAAATATGCTTGGTCTTTACTTTGTTTTGATTGTAAAGTTATGAAGATGATAGATTGCATTGCCTTGCATTAATCTAGTACACCTACACTTGAAGCTGTGCATTATATGCGAACCCTTATGTTGATGGGGTTTTATTTCGATTTGATAGTTTAGGGTTCTACTGAACAAAAGTTGTGGTTGCACCAAGAAATTTACAATCTTTATCTTGTGTACTATATGTAAATCTGTTGAGTAATGAGTTTTTAAATGTAAGATTACGAAATTGCAGTACTCCGGGTTATGCCATTTGATCCGACTCCTGTGATGAGAATGGTAGCTGAGAATTCGGGGGATGATGGAAGCTGCCAATCCATGGAGTATTCAGTACCCTGAAGTTTCTAATAATTTGTCAATTCATCAATACGAGCTAAGAGCCGGCAGCAATGTTTGATATAAAAGCTGTCACTCTGTATTGAAGTAGTGTGGTTGGAGTAGGGACTGGTAGGAGGAATTTGAACTACTAAACCATAAAAATAACAGTAGTAGTAGTAAATGAGCAGGACTGGTATTACGAAATCCCAAAGCCCATGCTCGAAGATCACAGACAGTGAATGTTTAACCGTATAAACGTCCCCTTGCGGAGCATAGGCAATCTCCATTTGATTTGAACACATCGTCTAATGAGATTGACTTACCTATTATCGTTGAAGGATTTGCGTACTTTCAATTTGGGATTCAAAACATTATGAAAGTAATTAGTTGTTAATGCATTGGTGGGGGTGGATCGTGTGTTTAAGATTCGATGAGAGAGTAATTTGGATTCGATCGGAGAGAAATTTGGTTTTATTTTTGGTAAGTGAAAATTGGCCTGACTGGATAATAATAATAATAATAATAACCTGATCGTAGGATGGGCTAAGTGGTGGTGCAGTATTTTACGTGTTGAAGCCTTGAAGAGGACTCAACTAGGTTGAGTGAAATTGGTTAAATGATAATAAAGTTAAAATCTAAAGATTAACTATGTTGGAAGTTTCAACTTTATTCCAAATAAATTTCTGTACAAATTTTGTTCCAAACCTTTAATCAAGTTTTTTTCATTGTTAATTGGTCATAAATATTCATCTATTTTTTAAAAAAGAAATGACGCAACTTAAGTAACTTTTCAAAGAGAAATTAACTAAGAAATCCAAATTGTTTTTTTAAGCTAGGTTTGTTTGGCGAGAAAATAACTTTCAATAGGAAAAACAATTTTGGAAAAGTTATTTTTCATAAAGTTGTTTTTCAAAAAAATATTTTCTTCTATTTTGACAATTATATGAAAAAACCGTTGAAAAGTATATTTCAACGTTTGTTTAATACAAAAAACTAAAATACAAAAACGAGGCTATTATTATTGTATTAACGAGTTTTAAGAAAACTTCAACAAGGCACGTTCACAATCTCACAATATAAAAATTATTAAGAGATCTCATATCAATAACGAGTACATATACAAAAAGCTATCAAAACAGAGCATATGAGTTACCGATATATCAATGTACTAAACATAGAAACCATCACTTATAATCAAGAATATATCGAGACGAGAGATTCATGGTGTTGAAATATCATTTGGACCATTTTTTTTTTATTCGGATGTAGGAAATATTTTAAAATTAATTTACAATTGAAACTAAATCTTTTTCCAAAATATTTTTAAAATATATATTTTTAAAATCAATAAGATGCATTTAAAAAAATTTAATATTTTTTTATAAATACCGACTCTAGGATTTAAATTCAAAAAATAAAAAAATAAAAAATATATTTTTAACCATCAAACCAATTCATCAAAATTACTTGAGACAAAATCAAGTCAATATTCACATTCATTAAAAAAAAATCTAAGTAATCCTAGCATTATTATTTTGGTAACTCAATTAAGAATTCTTATTACAATTATTAACAAAATTTTACAACTAATTAAAATTAGTCACAAATTATTGATTTAGTTGCAAATGAAATAATGTATTTATTAATGAATTAATTAGTTTCAATTTTTTCACAAATGGTTATAATATTCTAATACTCATTTTTAATCATTCAAGTATAGTTTATATGGTCTTTAGGATAATAGTAAAAAAAAAAATTATTAAAATATTTGTTATAAAAATAATTTTAAGGTGTAAAAATGGTTTTAAAGAATATTTCATGTATTTATAAATAAAAAAATCAAATATTAGTAGAAATAGAGAAAAATAATTAAATAATTAATAATAACCGATAAGAAATAATTAAAAATTAAGTTGATATATTTTAAATGAAAAAGAAGATAGAAAAAAATTATTAAAATATATCGAGAGAGAGGTCGGTAATACGAGAGCGAGATAATTCGTGAAAAAGAGAAAATATTTTCTTCTCTTTTAGTTCGGAAGTCACTTTCTCATAAATAATTTATTAATTTTCATAGATTGAAAATCAAATTTCATTAATTTTTTCTTAAATGTGAAAAAATGAAAACAAAAGGTTCCTCAAACTTCTTTTTTTAAAACAAACACAGCCAAAAAAATGATTTAAAAAATATTCGGAAACAATAATTGGAGGGTACGTTCAAGGTGTGGGAAAAAAAATAATAAAATAAAAATCCGACCTCTAAAACGGACCCAACACCTACTCAAAGCCTCAAAACTCAGCCCCGAAACTATTACCAACGAGCCCCCAAAATCCTTACAGAGCAACCCTTTTGGACGAGTCATTTGAACCACCGAAGTAGCTCCAAAAACACCCCCAAACCAGCTTCAAAACCACCCAAAAAAACCCTCAAAAAAACCTAGCAAAACAGATACAAAACATCCCCGAAAACAACCCCTCGAACACTTTTTGGAGTTACCGCAAAAGAAGAAATAAAAATTATAATTAAAAAACAAAAAAGGCTAAACATATTTTCATGTGTTGGATTGTTGGCATCCACAACATAATGTTATAGGTTGCATTTGATCGAGTCTTTTTGTCGGAAAAATAAGCAATAAAAGCTACCTTGGGTTTTCAATAACTCGCAAATTTTACAATAAATTTGGAGTATTCACTCGAGTAACCTAGGTTATGCCTATCTCGTCCAAATATGCAATTTATCTCATTTTTTGTGATTCAATTGACTTTCCATGATTATTCGCAATGCTACAATATACTCTTTTTTTTTAATTGCTATATAGTAATTTTTTTATAAAAAAAAAAGCGGAGAAAATGATGGGTAAAAACAACTAACTTATTATATGCATAGATAATAATACATGTTATACATATTTAAATTAATTTTATGTTGATAATTAATCTAAATTGGCTATTGAATTAATTAATTAATAAATAGTTATCGATTATTCTATGGAGACGATTCATTATCCATTTTATCATTTCGATAGGTGCTACATGCTAGATTTTTATTTTATTATCATTTGTGCTATTTTCTTGAAAAAAATATTTATACAAATTTATTATATGTATTTAAATATAGAAATATAATCATAGGGGTATTATAGTAAATATATAATAATATATATTTTTTTCTCTCTTTTTATAATTATCCAAATAAGGAAACATACTTTTTTTTTTTTACTCTTATCCAAACAAGAAGTGTAAAATAATTTTATTTCCTCTCAAGAGAAAGTATCCAAACAAGGGATAAAGGGGGAAAAAAAAAATCCTGTGTCATTCTCTGGTTGACGGTCTCAGGTATGGCAGCTTTCACCTTTTTTTTTTTTTTTTGCCCCCTTGGCTTGATTATTTATGAGCCTCGACTATTGCACCACGTGATAGATTCGGTGACATCGGTTAACGTCCGCAACTTTTTGCTGCACCACCAGTTCACCACCTGCTCTCTGAGGACCGTTCTCCCACACTACCCAGGCAGGCAGATATCAGTAGTAAAAACCCCACATCCCATGAAATTTAAATCAAATAACCAGAGATTTTATTTGAGAGCCCGCATATATAGCAATCAACTCATAATAAATTTCCATCTTACAGCATGTCTGGGCTGGACTAGTTTACAAACAATAAATAATTTTCCAGTCATATCAACTCCTGTGGAGAGACCTCACCGCTTACTATTACGAGAAATTTTATTATTCTATAGAAGTAGTTAGGGATATATATAATAATTATTTTATAAATTTATTTTCAAGAGAGATTTAAAAAAAAAAATAGAAGAGAAAAATTAAAAAAAAAGAAAATGTTCTCATCTTTTTTTATAGGTCCGATGTAATTCTTATTATTACTATTTTTTTTCTTTTCTAACTGCTGCCATTTGCTAGGGTTAAGTTTTGTGACAACGTACCTAGATTTGTTTTGGCTTATTGGGTTTGCTTTGACAATGTATATATTTGTAAGTTTAGTGAAAGCCCGAAACGAAAGAAATAATCTAAATCTGTGCAACTGACGCAATAAAAAAATTCACTTTTTCAACATTTTATGGGGTTGTTGATGGCCACACGTTCGACGTATTTATGATTCATCACCATCATCATCATGTACATACTTTGTTACTGTGATAATTGCTGATTTCATCTCTCTGATTTTGACTGTTACCCTCAGGGCATCATCAATACAGTGACTGGAGGATACTGTTCCATTGCATGCATGAACAATCATGTAATCCAGTAAAAAAATAAATGGCCCACACATTCATGGTGGAATTTCCAAGTCGCCCTCACTGGATGAGCTTTGATTAGGAAATCAATGATCGGAGCATCGTGGCCTCTGAACTACTGAATAATGGTGTCAATGATTTTGTTTCCCAACTGGTCCAACCTCATCATTCTGCTGTTTTGCAATTATGCAAGTTCTACCATGGTGCCGTCATTTTACACTGTCGGGTTGCTTTTGAATGCCGATGCCTCTGTTTAATTCACACGTGGCATATGATTTTGAGAGGGTCGCTTGAGGCAATTTATCAACCGGTTGCCAATTAAAAAAAAACGAAGAAGTTTAGATTTCCAAGATGCAAGTACGACGCCTCGCATCGTTTTTATTTTATCCTTAACATTGTGTTTGGATATTTCCTATTAAGATAAAAAAATAAAAAAAATATTTTTTATTTATTGTTTGGATAAGAATAATATATATATATATATATATATATATATATATTTTGGATCGTTATAGAAAGAGAGAGAAAATATATATATTATTATAATATCTTTATTATTATATTTCTATGTTTAAATGGATAAGGTGTAGAAGATGAAACGTAAAAATAACAATATCCTTTATTTTTATTATATTTTGACCTGATTTTCTCTTACTTCCCTCCTAATTTTGAGAGAAAAGTGGATCCCATTACCTTTAAATTTGTTTATCATTATTTTTAATTCTATAGGTTTTCTTTGAAAACCAAACAGATGAAAATTTTCTTTTATTAACACTTTTCTTTCTTCTTCTTAGCTTTTCACTCTATCCAAACACAATGTAAAAGAAAACAATCTCTGCTCTTTTCTCTTTTCTCTTTTATCTATTTTTTATGTTAATTATATTTGTGTTCGAATATAAATATAAAACTAGATAAATTTCAAAAATAATATAAAAAAACATGATAGTAAGAAAAAAGTATGAACAGTAAATGAAATTCTAACTCTAGCTTGTCTTGTGTCAGTAATATAGCCGGATCCATTTGGATCCAAATTAAGCAATTAAAAAAATATCAGATTAATTTTTTTTCCTTAAAGGAATAACGGTTAGAATTTTTAATTAAAAAATTTACTATATATATGAATGTTGGACAATGGGTTATGATGACTCGTTTTATATTATTAATATAAAAAAAAGACATTGAAGTAAAAGAAATGATTTTTTTTTTTTGTAGAGTGAGAAATGACTAATTATTATATATTACTATCTCACTAAGATGCAGATTCTAATTCATCATAAATAACATTGTTAACCATTTTATATGGCTGAAAAACTATTGGGTAACACTTTACTTTCAATTTTTTTTTATATTGACTCTTCTACTTTATTCTGACCAAAATAATTTTTTATTCTATATTATGAAATTGGATGGAATTATCAACAAATACTTAACGTATCTCGTAGAACAGTTGTTGCAAATCAAAATTCAAGATAAAAAATTAAAAATAGAGGGATATCTAATTTCAGCTTATCTTATATGTTTACAAATGCAAAAATAATGAAAAGCTTGAAATAAAAATCAAAAGATCTTAAATTAAAAAATAAAATAACGTTTTTTTCTTTTTTTTTGGGTGTGAATATCCTCTTAAGAATCTGTAACAAACAGTGAATGCAAAAGCATTCGTGAATGTCTAAAAAAAAAAGAGCAACTGGTTCAAGCAGTTGCCCACTCCTCACATGGCTTAATGCTTTCGAAAGCCACGTGTTGCTCAAAGACAGCCATCTGCATTAAAAGGCAGCAGCGGCATTTAAAAAGAACGGTATTGTAGTAAACGCCTTGCAATTATATTGGCAATAATGGATTGCTGGAAACGAGATATCAGATAACGTGATTACATATCATTTTTGGGTGAGAATAAATGAATAATTGGAAAGTTATAGATTATTTTAGGTGGATCATACAAAACATGCAAGGACAATAAAATAATAGTAAAAATGCGGCTTCTCAAAATTTATTGAATTTTAAGAAATCTAAGAGAATAAAGTTAATTATGAAATAGTAACTATTTAAATAATCACCTTACCAGAGATTTCTCATGAATTTTCAAGGATAAACATAGCATAATAAACTAAAAAGCAAAGAGTTGACGCAATATTTTAAAAAAAATTACTGCATTTTTTTTTTAATTTGGATTCATAGTTTAAAATTAACATTTTAAAAAATTATTACATTTATCTAAATATACTAAGCTAATATAAAAAATACGTTTCTATAATCGCTAAAAACATATATAATTTAGATAAACGTGCAAGCTTGTTCGAAAATATTTTATTGTGAAAAAAAAAAACATTTTTGAGAATTTTAGTGGAGAGGAGTTAGTTGCCTTAGCTTCCAATAAACAAATAAATAAAATTTGTTATGAAATAATGAATATCTATAAGAATGTTCATATATATTTCACATCTCCATCACTCATAATTCTTAATGTAATTCAATTCGCCATTCAATATGAGAAATTAAAAAGATGATGCAAATGATTCAACAATTTATGAACTTTTAATTATTCATAATCTCTTTCAATTTTCTTCCTAATTTTGAAGTTTATAAATAGACTTTATTGTTCATTAGTTTGAATAGGAGTATTTTGTAGAGATTGAGAGAATTGTTCGGAGTTATTATCTCTTGTATTCTTTTTATTTCACGATGAAATCATTTTTCTAATATCTCTTCTTCTATCATTTTTACCATTATCATAACAATCTTTTACGATTATTAGTATTTTTTCAACACGTTATCCGCACAAGTGTTCTATCAAAAGATGCAAATTATTTAGACCATTAAGAGGTATTTATATAATTTATCTTTTACTTTAAATTTATTGGTACATATAATATATATTTGAAAAACTAGAATGATCTAATATATATTCCAATGAACTAATGTATATTGTTTGAAAAAATTGATTTTTATTATTATATTTGTTTTTTTTTTCTAACATTGTTACTATATTTTGCATTATAGAATTTTTATTATGTAAAATCTCACAAAACTTGATTTTGTGGCCCTTGAAATTTTAGGCAAAAATTATTTATCATAGGTGCTTGATATTGAGATACATTTGAATGCTAATTGTCTTGGACAAACAATCATGGACGATAATCAAGCATCCTTGCAAAGCCGTGTTACGACAATGATCTTCCTTCGCCATCATCTCCATGAGGATTTGAAAATTGAATATTTGACAAGTAAAGAATCCACTTGAATTGTGAAAAAATTTAAAGGAAAGGTACAACCATCAAAAGACGATAATTCTTCCAAAAGCTCGTTATAATTAGATGCACTTAGGATTACAAGATTTCAAACGAGTAAGTGAGTATCATTCCGTAGTATTTAGAATCGGTTTTCAATTAAAATTGTGTAGAGAGAATATTGCTGATTCGGATACGTTAGAAAAAATATTTTCTACTTTCATGCCTTGAACATGCTCTTGCACTAACAATATCAAAAAAAAGATTTTAAGAAGTACTCGAATTGATTCATGCTTACCGATGGTTGATCAAAATAACAAGTTATTGATGAAAAGTTAGGAATCCCACCCAACTAAGTTTACTTCATCCTCTCGTAGTGAATGTGGCATCTTATAATAATTTTAGACATGGACGAGATGGGAATAATTATCGCTATAATTGTGATGATCGTAATAATACACCTCACACCATAAGTGAATAAATTATAAAAAGAAACAAGAAAAGAATAAAAGTGGATCAAGTTAGTATTTATAAAATGAATGTTATAAATACGATAAGAAGGGACATTGGTTGCATACACGTTGTACATCAAAGCACCTCGTTGAAAAATAAAATAAGTAATATGGAGGCAAATTTTATATACCAAAATAGTAATTGTGACAATGTTCCTCTTGATAGTTTCATTAATTTAACATATTTAGAAGTTATTGATTTTTTTGAAGACTATGAAAAAAAAAATTATTAGATTAATGATAATAATATAAATTAATATCTTGTTAGCTTTTTCATTGATAAATAAAGAAGTTTTATGTTTTCTTATAATTTTTATTACATTGTGATAGTTATAATTTTTTTTATATATTTTATTTGTTTTGTATTTATAAATAATATATGGATTCTACCAAGTTCACAATTGGTTTAAACATCATAGATGAGAATTTATGCTTTGTAGATAGTATAACAACGCATACTATACTTAAAAATGAAAAGGTGTTTCTCCAATTTAAAGATGGGTAAGGCTAATGTTAACACCGTATCTAGTAGTGTCAATTTAATTGAATGCTCCGAAAAAGAAAATATATTATTATTTAGAGGGACAAATTTGATTATAAATGATGCATTATTCTTTCCTAAGTCTCATAAAAATTTATTGAGTTTCAAAAGTATTCGACTAAATGAATATCATATCGAAACAACGAATGTTAAAAGTATTGAATACTTATATATTATAAAGATTACATCGGGTAGAAAATATATGTTGGATAAATTACTCGCTTTCTCTTCGGCATTTATCACATAAATATTCGAATGATTGAAACAAATGCTATAGTAAACCAAAAGTTTACTAATTCTTTTATTTTATGAGATGACCAGTTGGACCATCTTGGATTCATTATGATGCAATAAATTATTGAAAATTCATATGAGTATCCATTGAAGAACCGGAAGATTCTTTAATCTAATAAATTTTTATACCTTGCATGTTCTCAAGGTAAACTTATTATTAGGTCATTGCTAAATAAAATTGAGATTGACTCTCTAGTATTTTTAAAACATATTTAAGATGGTATATATGAACTATTTAAATATTTTATGGTCTTAATAGATGCATCCACAAGATGATCACATGTGTGCTTATTATTAACTCGAAACCCACCATTTTTGAGGTTGCTTGCTCAAATAATTCGATTACGAGCATAATTTTCAAATTATATCATTAAAACAATTTACCTCGACAATGCTAACACATTTATCTCTCAATCATTTAATAATTATTGCATGTCTATTGAAATAAAGGTTGAATAACATATTGTTTATGTTCATACTCGAATAGTTTAGCAGAATCATTTATCAAAATCTTTAAAATTGATAGCTAGTTCAATACTTATGAAAACAAAACACCGTGTTTATGTTTGAGGATATGCAATTTATCATAATGCATAATGTCATTCAATTCACCAGTTAATCATTATTTCATGTCTATTGGAATAAATGTTGAATAGCTTATTGTTCATGTTCATACTCAAAACAGCTTTAGCAAAATCATTTATAAAAATCCTCAAATTAATAGCTAGTTCATTGCTTAAGAAAACAAAACATCCTGTTTATGTTTGAGCATATGCAATTCATCATAATTGGTAATGTCATTCAATTCACTATTCAATATGAGAAATTGAAAAAGTGATGTAATTGATTCAACAAATTTATAAATTTTTAATTATTTATAGTTTCTTCCAATTTTCTTTCTAGTTTTGAAACCTATAAATATGCTTGAGTGTTTATTAGTTTGTGTATAATTATTTTGTAGAGATTGAGAGAATTATTTAAAGTTGTTATCTTTTTTATTTTTTTATTTTATAGTGAAATCATTTTTCTATCATCTTTTCTTCTATTTTATTTTATCGTAACAATCTTTTACGATTATTATTATTTTTTCAACAAAATTATTGTACTTTTTGATTCTCATAATACAAATTATGAAGTTACTTTATTGTGTATTTTTAACTGTAATTGAGGGGTTAAGTTACCTCCAATAACGTTGAAAAATAAAATAGAACCGTGGAAATGTGTTAAAAATTTGCTTTGGAAAAAGGAAAATACTCTGAATAGAAAAATCATGTGATTTATACATGACATATTGTAATGTAAAAAACACCTTATACTTTAAATAAGATAAATAGTTCATCTGTCCTTTAAAAACCGTAATTTTCGCAAGTTTTTTTTCATCTTTCAAAAACAAACGAGGCATCTTGACGAACTGAGTTATTTATATGCTATAGACGTGTAAATATTAAATGAATAATTGTCATTGAATTCTCAATTAACTAAAAAGAAAACCTCTCTGTTGTCATGGGCCGACCCAAACAAATTCGAATGGGGTTAGGTGACGCATTATTATATTATAAAAAAAACTAAAAGATCTAAACTCTTAACTGTTCATTCACTGTAGTGTTTGTTTGTTTTTTTTTTTTGTTTTTTTTTTGGTTTGAGCTGCTGGCAAGGATTGGTTATTGTAGCATTACTTTCTTTTTTTTCCACTGACTTTTTTTTTTTCCAGCTAGGCTGCTGCTAATTGACAAAAGAAAAGAGAAATGATGATGATAGTTATTCCACTTCTATATAAATAATTTATTATTATATTTTTTATCATGAAATTAGTTATAAAAATATAAAAATAAATATTATTATTTTTAGTTTTACTTATAGTTTAACAATAATAAAATATATATAATATATTTTTTATATTTTAGTCTGAACATATATATCTAATTATATTATTTTTATTATTTAAAATTTATTTCTTCAATTGTTTGTTTCTTATTAAAAGTATAATTGAGTTAATTTTTTAATTTTATATAATTTTATTTGTTAATAAATTTAATTTTTTTATATATGGCTTTTGAAATAAAATTTTAGACCATGATTGTTTTATTTTTTTAAATATATTATTATAATCTATAAAATTGATTATTTTTATAATTTTAAATGAGAATAAAGTAGTAGCATATATAAATTCTAATGAAAGAGGGAGAGCTAAAAGTGTGTTTTAAATAATTTGACTTAATTTTTTTAAAAATAATAATCAGTTAAAAAAATAAATTGACTTATTTTTTAAATTAATAATTAATTGAAAAATTCATAGGTTTTATTTGGTTATATATATATATATATATATATATATATATATATATATATATATATATATAACCGAATTTATCAAAACCAATTTTATAATAGTTTTTATTTAAATCTATTCGCTTTGATATATTCCATGTGATTTAAGTGAGTTTTTTTTATATATTTTTATTTATTTTATATATGCTTAATCTGCTAAGTACAATATATATATATATATATATATATATATATATATATATATATATAGAGAGACGAGAGAGAGAGAGAGAGAGAGAGAGAGAGAGAGAGAGAGAGAGAGAGAGAGAGAGAGAGAGAGAGAGAGAGAGAGAGAGAGAGAGAGAGCTAAAAGTGTGTTTTAGATAATTTGATTTAATTTTTTTAAAAAATAGTAATTAGTTAAAAGAACTCATAGGTTTTATTTTGTTATATATATATATATATATATAACAAAATAAAATAGTCAAAATTTATCAAAATCAATTTTATAATAGTTTTTATTTAAATCTATTTACTTTGATACATTCCATGTGATTTAAAAGGGTTTTTTTATATATATATTTTTATCTATATACTCGAATCTTCTACGTACGATATATATATATATATATATATATATATATATATATATATATATATATAACATCAATTATTTATTATTTATTTTTTTCATATTCTAAAATTTGTATTTTTAAACAAAATAATTTAATTAATGTTTTGAAAGAACTTCCTAATTATTTGAATACAAATTTTTATATTAATATTATAAATTATTTTGTTAATAAATATATATAAATCAAATAAATTTATTTAATATATAGATTTAATTTATATTAATTTTTAAATAAAATATCTATTTATATTATATTATTTGAATCGTTAATTTTATGTATATAATATTTATGTGATCCGAACGTAGCACGATCAACTAGTATTTGACTAAAATAACTCGATTCCAAGATAACCCAATCCAAACCCACCCACGGTATATGAAAACACAATTGGTAAGCGTAGTCCCCTTAGTGTTTTAAAGCATTTCAATGATTTAGCTTGTACTGTACGCTGGGGTAGTTAACAGTCTGAATGGTCATCAAGTTTCGAATTATCTGGAAATTTCTAGCAGTCTCTATTAACATTTTCCACGACTACTTTGACTTGGACAGGGAAAGAGAATAAAAAACCGACCAATGCATCGCAGTTCTTATGACATAAAAATCAAAGCAGAAACAAAGGAAAATCCAATTTATATATTTCTTGCATCTGTGTTTCTTTTCTATCTGGGAAGAGAAGAGAGAGGACTCAACGATTGTATCCAGACTGTCGAACATGGGGAAAGTTGTTTGCTCTGAATTGCTTTCAGACCATGACCATGATTTCGATTTCAAGGGACTTATCATGGCACTGGTCATTGCTCTAGCCCTCATGGCCATTTGTACTGCACCTCGTCGGCGAATTTTGGTATGTCATCGCGTTGCCTAAAAGGTTTCTCTTTGAAACTCTGGCCAGGTTCCTCCTAGTCTGAATCTTTATTTTTTTTGGGTGAGAGTTCGCCATCTGAATCTTGCTTTGGCGGGTAGGGCTGAAGATTTTGGCTCTTCGTATCTAGTTAATTTAGTATACACTTGTACTGTAATTTGTTGTAAAGACTAGAAATGTTTAGTTCTAGTGCCCAAAATAAACTTTCATATTACAGTTCATGCTATTTGGTTTGAAGATCGGCATCCATCATTTGAATGAAACAGCATTATTTTATTACAGTTTCACTCTATTCTTTTGCGACAACACCTTGATGGATCATGGGAATTTTAAGAAAACAGAGCCGTTTCCTTAGTGATTCGATTAGAAGAATGCTAATTTCCTTTCAGCTTAATTATAATAGAAACTATTTGGTAACATTTTCTCGTAACATGAGAATCCCACTACAAAGTACCAACACTATCAAATTAACATACCTCAAGCAAGAACATTAAAATTGATTTTCATTACACTATCAAAGCTCTTTCAAGTTGCAACAATCCACAATGCAACAGCAACTCAACTTGGGCTATCATATCCAATCTCAAGCAATAAACACCAAACAATCAGAAACTTCACCGGTTATTTAGTCAAGTAACCAAGCATGGTACAAGTGGCCAAGGAAAAACTGGAATACATGTCAGTTCTAAACTAGAAACTTCTGTCAGTTGAACTTCAATTGGAACCTTGAACTGTCTGCAAGAGATGCTCAATCCTGTACTTCATAACAGGTTGACCAGAACGGGTTTTCTTGGACATCTTCTCCCTCGCAGCTTTTCTACGGGATTCAGCCTTCTCTCTCTCTTCCTTCTTTGCTTTTAGAATCATCTCTCTTTCAATCCTTGCATTCTCTTCCTCTTTACGCCGTTTTTCATACAACTCTTTCAAACTATTCTTGCTCCTCTTGTTCTTTTTGATCATCTTACTACCTTCTCCATTTTCATTCTCAGCCTGTAACAGCAACTGAACTGTAAATGACTGGTCCAAATTTGACTTTCGTGTTAATCTCGAGCGCAATTATACAACAAAAACTTCAACTGAAAACTTTCAATTTCAAGAACCCAATTTGCGTTGCATTACTAATCTAAAAGACATAATTTCTCAACAGATCACGCTAAAACAAAAGGAGCTTATAGTGAAAATCTCAATTTTCAATCCAGGACAAGAGTCCAGATTGAAGCTCTATAACCATCTGATAATATTTTAAGAACAACACAAGTTTCCATGATGAAATACTTACGAAGAGATTTTGGAAGGATGGTATTTATCAAAACAAACAAGATATTTGCAGAAAGAAAAAAAAATCAGGACAAAGAAACGATCTCATACCTCTGAGGGTTTTACAACTGAGGAGAGCTCATTCGGCTGATTTTGCTGCTTCAGCTTTTTCTTAAACTTGCTCACGTACTTAGCATTCTTATAAAACTCCCTTTGCTTCTCTGATACGAAACAGATCGAAAAAAAAATGTCACAAAAAAAAAAAAAGAAGAAGCAAATCCTATCATATTTCATAACAAAATTGAAAATTTTGAACTACCCCAGTACCAAGAATACGTTCAACATCTTTAAAAAAAACAAGCCAACCCACTGGAGTTCGGAGCTTGATCAGCTATTTTCAATAAATATCAAACAAAACCCACCCATTTTTTTTAATAAAATGTTTAATACACATACTTATAAGGGCAGGATTGGAGAAGGAGGTGTTGTTTTTGGCATTAACGAATGCTTCAAGAGAAAGACCGGCGGCTCCTCCTAATCTCTTCATGTTTTTCTTCTTTTTTCTCATCATTGATTTGGAGCCATTGATTTTCTCCTTATCGTCTTCTCTATTGCTTTGATTTTTCTTCTTCATTCTCCAAATAATTTTTGAGAAACCCTAATTTTGCTCTTCTGCTTTGCTATAGACGGTCCCTTCCTCGTTCTAAATTTCCGAATTCGCCTGTCTTGCTAATTTCTTTTGGCAAAATCGACACCGTTTAAGAAAATTAGGTCGGCTCAGTTTAATTTAGGGTAAATTTCATTTTCCGTCCTCAAGTTTATAAGGTGTCGCAATAAAACCTCAAGACTTTGTTCTTTCTCAATATTCCCTGCAAGTTTGAATTCTTTTCAATTTACCCTTCCTAAGCGATTCTTGTCTCAATTCACCCTTATAAAAGTTAAAAAAGTAGCAACCAAACACCCTCACACATTCACAATTCTTGTAGAATTACAATTATCTTTTAATCACAAAAGTTAGAGTTATAATTTTTGGACAAAAATACAGTTTAATGTCATTATTAATTTTTATATTAAACTTCATGATTTCTCTTTTTAATTTTGAGAATACAAATATGAAGATACAATCCAATAATAATAATAATAAAAAAAAAGGTATGATATCACTAGTAAACTTTGCATCAGGTGTTTTTAGGTTATTAAAATTTCCAACACAGATTTTTTTTATCCGTTGTGTGAAAATTTGTAGTTCGAGTTTAGCTTAATTAAATTTAAAAGTATTATTTTATTAAAGTTTATTTTGCTTCGAAAATATAATGCAAAGTAAAATTCCAAGCGCTGGATTTTTAGATTGATATCTCTTTAAAAAGACTCCCTTACCTTTGTTAAGATTTAGGGGCTGACGTCGGTATTTTTGACTAGTGGCAACCCCAATCCCTTTTCTTTTTTACTTTTATTGTAATGATTCCAGATTTGATGATTTTGTCATCAGATCTGATGGTTTTTTTAGTCCAAACAGTTTCATATTTAGAAACTTTTGATCTTAGATTTGTTGATTTTGGAGAGGAGCACAAATCTTCGGCTGTGTTTGTTTAAGGAAAAACAAATTTATAGAACTTAAAAAAGTTCTAAAAATTTGTTTTTTCTATTTTTCAATGTTTGTTTTATATTTAAGAAAAAAGATAACGAAAAATGATTTCCAGTCAACAGAAAATGATAAAATATTCTTGAAAAAATATTTTTTCTGTTAAAAAAGAGAAAACCATTTTTCTTCTCACGAGTTGTCTCGCTCTCGCGTTACTTTTCTCTTTCTCGATATATTTTAACAATTTTTTTCTCTATCTTCTTTTTATTTAAAATATATCAAATTAATTTTTAATTATTCCTTATCAATTATTTAATTATTTTTTCTCTATTTCTACTAATATTTGATTTTTTTATTTATTTATAGATACATTAAATATTTTTAAAAACAATTTTTACACCTTAAAATTATTTTTAGAATAAATATTTCAATAATTTATCTCTATTTTTTTTACTATTATCTCAAATATCACATAAACTATACTTAAATGATTGAAAATGATTATTACAAGACTACAATTTCTTGTAAAAAAATTAAAATTAATTAATTCATTAATAAATATATTATTTCCTAACACTATTCACTTGCAATTAAATCAATAATTTATAATTTTAATCAGTTGTAAAATTTTGTTGGTAATTGTAGTGAATAATTAGTTACAAATTATTCAAACACGAATCTTTTAAAACCAAATGAATAATTATCTACAAATAATAACTAATAATTTATAAAACTATTTTTTAGAGTAAATTATCAGTTTCAATTTTCAAAAAAAAAAAAAAAAAAGAATTCTTAATTGGGTTACCAAAATAATGATGGATTTCTTTGAATTTTTTTTTTATAGTAAATGTGAATATTGACTTGATTTTGTTTCAAATAATTTTGATGAATTGATTTGATGGTTAAAAAAATATATTTTATTTTTTGAATTAAAATTTTAGAGTTAGTATTTATGAAATTTTTTTTCTAAATATATCTTATATTGTGAAATTATGAATATAACTTTTTGAAGTTTTCTCGAAAACTTGTTGATGTAATAATTACATATTGTTTTTATATTTTAATTTTCCGTATCAAATAAACATTGAAATATATTTTTTAATATTTTTTTATGTAATTGTCAAGCAGCATAAAATATTTTCTTAAAAAATAATTTTTTGAGAAATTCATTTTTTTCATAAAAGTTATTTTTCGTTAAACAAGCTAGCCTTCAATTCCAATAGAATACTTAAAGGTGCTTAGAGTCAAATATGTTGGCGTAGGTTGATGGTTTTTTCCTTCAATGAAATCCGATAGTGTGAGGTATATGGAGAAGCTTGAAAAGTAGAAGGTCAGAGAAGTCAATTGGAAGTCTGCAAAATAAAAATGCCAAGATGCTATTCAAAGATTCAATATTTTATTGTTCAATATATATATCGAGGTCCTCTGGTTATCAGAAATAAAAACTTCCGAATTAAAATATAGGATGAAAATTTAAAAATTTTATTATACAATTTATAAGATTAATAAGAATAATGATTAAAAAAATAATTTTATCAATTATAACAATAGTAAAAATGATAGAATAGATCACAATAATGGTAAAGAAAGAGCAGAACATGATAATGGTGATAATAATAGTAATAATATATTTTTAAAAAGTTGATGTCATCTTTATAAAAGGTAAAAATGAAAGAAAATGGATAATGATTGTGATATAATAAAAATGACGATGGTAATGTGGAGAGGTGAGGTGAATAATAATAATAATAATAATAATTTTTTTATCATCATTATCAATAATAATAATAGTGGTGGTGATGGTGATGGTGGTGGTGGTAGAAGTAGTTGATATATAATAAATAAAAATTATATATTATTATTTTAAAAAAATCTCAGTTCTATTTTTTTATTTTTATTTCCACTTTCGTCATGAGGATGAAATTGTGTTTAATTTTTATTTTTATTTTATTTTTTTCAACCAAACATATACAAAATAAAAATAATACTTTCATTCCTATTTTTACAATTTCATTCTTTAATTTGTTACCAAACAACACTCTAGTGTTTTTTAACATGAATCGATTCAACTTTCATATGAGTATTTTTCATATGTGTCTTGTGGAATTTATGATGTGTTTGTACTCATTTTAAGTATTTATGAAATCATTTTTTCGATAAAAAAAATGCAATGAAAGCTTTTATATATATATAAGACACCAAGAAGAGCAAGAGCTGGCAAAAGCACTTAATTAAGAGGAGTTTAGGCCTTCAATGAATAGTCACTGCTGGCCTAGCTAGAAAAAAATGGTTAATGGAATTTGATTTCCAAAAAGAATCTATATTTGGAGGTAGTAATTAAGGTACGCAGCATCCTTATTTTAGAAATCCTGTTATAGAATAGATGCGACTATATAAGTCGTTCTTCTTGCTTCCTACCTTTCACTGGAATCTTTCCCCCTAAATCATGATGCCGAAACTGATTGTGACTGTACATATACATATACTCTTTTTCCCTTCACTTGCAGAGTTGGAAGAAATTAGAAATTAGAATTGAAGAAATTCTTTTTGAGTTGGAAAGGCAAAAAAGATGCTGGTAGCTAGCTAGGTGAAACGATATTATATGACTTCTAAAACTTGTAAAAAATATTGTCGTATAATTAACTATTCGTCACCCTTTGATTATATATAATCCCAAATAATGTACTTCTTGCCAACGAAAATGATGAGTTTAAATTGAATTTGCAGCATAAAAAGGAAATATAGAGTACTTTAGAACAAAATCATGTGCTTATATATTTTTATTGCTAGCGCAAAGATCGAGCAGTTTGGAATACAACTCAATCCCATACATAATTAATCTTGAAGGCATTAATTATCATAATCGAAGCAAAATTGAAATCACCATATAATCAATCGTATAAAAGGCAACAAATCAAAATGGCACGTATTTTTGTATCCATTCTACGTGCTGCGTTTTTGTGATTCTATATAACTCATGGAATTAGATCGATCGATCCTCACTTGGTTCCAATTGTTTTCTTGGGCATATTTAACCTGGCCCAAATTCCATTCATACTGTTTCTTCTACTTGATTGGATCCGTAGGCATTAGAATTCTCTTTGGTCTCATCATCTTTGTTCCTTTGATCACCGGCACTTGCTAGCTCAGCTTGTGACTGTGTTTCAGGCAAGACAATCTCGTTCCTCTTGTTTCTATAGATGAAGTACAACATCATCTGAGCGATTCCAAACACAAGTCCTAGGATGTTTGGCGACTAGAACAAGCCAAAAAAAAAAAAACAGAGTTATATATATATATATATATGGCATGATCAATGCATGTATATGCTCCGAAATATGAAGCCAATATTCAGAGTCGTGACTTACCGCAATATACCAATCATTCTGTGAAATCCCAAAAACGAACCAGCAAATAGCACAGAGTGTCAGGAAGAATGACAATGAGAATGGCATATATTCCACGCTCTTGGTTCTTATCACTTCCCTCTGAAAGTACAGGTTCAATTAATTAAACGTATATAATTTCCTAGTCATTCATCTCTGAGGTCAGACTTAAATATTAACTAATTTATACTTAAGGGTATTAATATAAGACGTACTATAATACTAAGAGGAGCAGCAAAGACACAGACAGAGAAAACAGCACAGATCCATCCAACAACATTCGTTCTCCGAGACCCATGTGAGAATAGGCTTGTCAATAGGACGATCAAGGCATATAACCCGAAGTTAAACAACATAAACAGCTTCAATGTATACATCTGCAGCCAAGTTGAAATTAAATGCAGATAGCTTCAAATTTTATCTTGGTTATGGAAAATTAGAGCGCATAACCGAACAAATACAAATACTGGAGTGGTTGAGGAGATACTTACCTTTGTGCTCCTAGGTGCATATATTAGGTAGATGATGAGATAGATGGATTCAATGACACATCCAGTGCAGTTGATAGTGACAAGCATAAGCGCATCTGTCTTGAGAGTTGCATAATAGAGTGTTAACATGGCACTAAATAGTGCAACTGAGTATGGTATGGACTGGAATTCTTCAGTTGATTTTCTCTTGTAAATCCTATAAAATGTTGGCCTTCAAAACGAAACAGAATAAATATTAATGAAAATATGAATTAATTCGACGTTGAATTAGCTAGGTACTGCTTAACTAATTAGAGACTCATAATTAAGCTTACAATGGGGCCAAATATACTAACAAAGACACCGCATTGCCTGTAAATAAGAAACAGATAATCCATGAAGAGCATTAGAAGATGAAAACTTATAGGGTATTAAATATGGCATGAGAGAAGGTACCAAGAAGGCCGAAAACAAGAGCAAATTGAGGATCATGTAGTGCCATTCTCCCCGATAAGGAGAAGCTCTTTGGAGGTGATGATATATATATTATTCAGACCTCCTCCGAAAGAGCTTCTATTTATGAAAAATTCTAAGCATAGGTGCATGCATATATAGAGGTATGAAGTGGAAGCTGACGGTATAAGAAACATCATTTTGGACAATTGGCGTTGAGCTACTGGAAAAGGTGCTCTTGTTCGGGAAAAAAAAAAAGGTAGATAGAAATAAGAAAAAGTGCCCTTGGTTTTTTGTGAGCTATAACTATATATGAGCTGGGAAGCTCTAATATTCACGATAACTTTTTAGATTTGGCTCTTTAGTACCTTAAAGTATGATTCTATAAACTTCGTTGTCCATGAACGTACGTAAGGCATGCAATCTGAAGCCTAGCTATGTACCAAATTAAATGGCTACATGCATCAGTGGCTTGAGCCATTTAATTAATTAATTACGGGTGACGTGAAGCAAATCATTTAGCTATAAAGGCAGAGCTCATGCTAAAATGGAAACCAAATAGTTGCGTGCACCCACCCCAAAAAAGGAAATCAAAGAGCAGTTTACGTTTGCCAAGAGGCTGATTCGTGTCGGTGAGATAGCCCATTAGCCGTTACATTCAAAAGCTTTTAATTTGTCTTCAATATGGCTCTCCAGTTGTGCCAATCAAAAAGGGCGTTTGGTTACTCATAACAAACATATATATGTTCCAATAAGGATATTGTTCAACACGATATATATGTAGTTGCTTTTGCAATTTTATGACATGTTAATGTACAACTATCTTATCCTGGTCATGAAATTAATTAATTAATTGAAATTTGGCTGTCATCGATACCGATATTTTGTGTCAATGGTAAGAATGTCTAAAATTAATAAAAGGGAAACTGTACACGGCGGCGCCATTTGATAGTTTTGGCCCAGACCGAGTTTTGAAACAAATCACATGCTAACAAAAATTCAATCATTTGAAGAACATACTTGCATGTCTTGATGAAGAAATCTTGCTAGAGGCGGCAATACAGGGCTTTTGGTTTTTACGGAGTTTTTATATCAAAAATCAATGAAAAAAAGTGTTTTTGTTAACATTTTAGGATATTATTAGTTTTAAAAACCGTTTTCAAAGCTATTTAAAATTTGAGATTTTTTGAGTATGCTATTAACAATATATATTACTAAATGATATTTGTTTACAACCACAATAATCAAAATTAATTGCTACAAACATAACAAAAATTATAGTTAAAAACTACTAGTCTTGTTCTGCTAGGCGTATAAAGCGGAATCAACTATGTAGAAAGTTTTTTATATACGTAAGGATTTGAATTCAAGAACACTTGTTTAAATGATTAGAATATTTTTCACTTAAAGTAATCTTTTTAGATAATAATTTGATATATAGTATATACATTTAATTCTTTCTATTTTGTTTTTGAAAAGTTTATTTGTCTTCTAAGTAAAGCTTGTTTTACCATCCGCTAAGGGGTACTGCTAACCAACATTTATCCTCCTTTTGTCTTAGATTAGCCTAAAGGCATTCCATAATTTGTAGAATTTTTTTTTACAAATTTTTTTTTATATAGTTTTAGAAGCATATATATATGTGTGATATTTTTCGAAATAATTCAATAAGATGTCTCGACATTTAATGACAGCAATTCTGAACCATGGTCGAATTTCATAAGTTATGCCAAAATGACTGGATTGGATCGATGGCTCAGAACATTTGGTTGGCGCAAAAAATAGTGCCTTCGATGTTTTGCAAAAGCATTGCAGAAGAACCCGTGCCAAAAACATACTATATAGACACTAATGAAATTAAAATTTAGGTATAGAGACTGAGAATGATATTAACATTTTTTCAGTAACTAATTACTATAATTATATACCGACATTCCTTCCAAAGCAGATAATCGCAATTGACTTACTGGATTACGTTATAAGCAGTCTTCATGAGACCACATTAAAGAAAAAACAAAAGTTTTTTTTTTTTTTTTTCTGTTTCTTTTTTCAGTTTTCGTCTTAATTTGCCTTAACTTGGAATGCTTTTCCTCGTCAGCTGCGATTCAATTGGCAATATATATATATATATATATTTTTTTTTTAAAAAAAAGATGAGATCAACGACTACCTTATTATTACTTTTGCAAGGTTTGCAATTGGTTTTTCTGTTGTATTTTTCTTTGCATTGAATCTGACTCATCTTCCATATTTCCTTTTTTCCTCTTATAGGCCTGTGCTGCATATTTAATGCCATAAAACGAACTAAAAATAGATAATATGATAAAGAAAACCCTATTGACATATAGACTTTAGAAATCAAGCTCACCTACTCATCGTTTCTAGATATTCCTTTGGTCAGAATTTCCAACAGCTTTCATTGGAATCTTGTGAACTTCCTGATATTATTTGGAGTTAACTACAACTTAGTCCCTGTATTTATCACAACTAATTAACTAATCCCTATAGTATCAGAAATAATTAACTAATCCCTTGATCAATGTTGACCATCCTCAATTTAGCTCGTTAATAGTTATTTATTTATTTATGTAATGATTTTTTTCCTAATCGATTTTTCTACATGCATCCTTCTCTTTTGTTTTTTGTTTTTTTTTTTTAATTCAAACTTTCAGATGGAAGATAGAAACAAAATAAATTGGAAAAGAATATGGATTTGACAAATGAACTAATTAATTAAAAATATAAAAATTTAATATATAGTTTTTTATATGACATGACTAATTAATTAGTTTTGTTAAACTATAAATTAAAATCACATTATAATTAAGTATATACAACATTTGCTGGGATCTATATATTTTTTATTTTTATTTATTTAGGTCATGAATTGGAAAAGATCATCTGGTGTTGGTAATTACATTACTTTGATAATCAAACATCACTACTAAAAAATAATAATAATAAAAAAAAATCAGTATGGTCGGTCATCAAAGAAGAGAAGCTAACTTGCGAGTTATAGATAACGGAAAATATTGTTGGTCAAAAAAATAAAAATAAAAAATAACGGAAAAATTGCAATGTTGGTACACAAACATCTCACTTTTTAACAATCAAGGATAGACTTTAATTTTTTCATTTCAATATATCTAGTTTTTCTGATTGGCACAATTGAAAAGTTTAAAGTCCATATAGTCAAGTTTAAAAGGTGAAAAGTTGGTACAGACACCAATTAGTACGAACAGCGTAATTATCCAGTTCTGTTTTTTCAGGTTTGCATTTGAAATTTGCCTCTATATGAAAATGTGAGTAATATTGATTTTGCTGGTCAACTTTTTTTTTTTTTTTCCATGTTTTATCATCATTCACATCTTAACAATTGATATTGATTAAAAAGATTTGTGACTAGTAAAATCTTGTGTTTCCAGATCATCTGATCTTGGTGCGGTTCTGACTCTGCCTACTGTGAGCGCTTTTCTGGAAGCAAACAGTTTCTCGTTCATGTTCTATTATTATTGGTAAGCTTTAGTGGCTCTGGAAACACTAAAGCTGTTTATATGCTAGATAATTATGTTTCTAGCTTTTTAATCTGCTGCTCACATTTTCCTAGTCTTTACGACTGCCTTATTGAACTACGATAAGCCTTTTGGCCATTGTCTAATAAATTTCTCGGTTTATCAAAAAAACTTGCGACTCCAATGTTCATGGTTGTTGCTCAAACAGCATTCATAAATGATATCTTTTAGAATGAATCTGACTGCATGGCTTGGCTGATCTGGAGCTATGTCATCACCAGAGTTGTGCACCAAGCGGCAAACCTATTTAACCTGCTCAATCTGACTGCTCGGAAAGTTGAGAGAAATTTAGAAAATTAGTTAAGTGTTCAAACCAAATGACAATTACGGTTGACTGAAGCGTGTAAAAAACAAATGACAATGAGTTTGCTTTCAATTTTTAGGAGATTTCATGTTACAAATATTTGTTTTATAACAACATAAATGGCTTTCTTAGAAAGATTAGATTATTTTTCATTACATTTGAAATCTAATTGATTAGACCAAAATTAAACACACTCAAATTCTGAACAACTACAAAACGGCCTGACAAAGAGTATATAAAACCCAAAAGTGAAGTCAAGCCCATCCAAATAAGTAAAGGAACAGCTTAAAATGTAAACCTTAGTCGACCACACAAAGAGAAGAGAAAAACCTATTTTATATCACATTTTGCAGAAGATCTACAAAAGTTACTTTTTTAGTTTTTTCTTCAGTGGCTACAATAAATACACGAAACATTACTGAAAACTAATATTTTGTATAATATGGCCTAACATAAGAAACAATGACACATATTGCGAGAGATATACCAGAACTCATCAGCAATCCGTCCTAGCAAAGTGTCCAGTAATTCTTGTGATCTACACCTGCTACATGTAATACATATTGATTCAACATAAAGAACATCAAATTACGAAGTCAAAATTGGACACGAAAAGATATCACAGCCATTAAAACAGTAGCCATGGTAATTTACTCTGCTTTAACCAGATAGTGGGGAGACAGAAGTGTTCTTACGTTCTTGTCAAACATTGTGGGGTCATCCCTTGCATACAGAAATCATTTTAACAAACGATTTCAAAACTTTTCCAGAAATTATCAACATTAACTTAACTGCAACAGCAATTGCTTACCACTTTCAACGATCCATCTTAGCGAAACGGCCCTTAATTCTGGTTCTGCTTTCTGCCCGTACCTTGCGGGTTTCATACCTGATATGTTTATCGTATCTGTTGTTTTTCACAAAAAAGAATGTTGGTTTAGAAGTTCCAAAAAAAAAAGATCCTAACACCACAACTCATGCAAATGATCCATCCTTGCCAAGATTTTACAACTGATGTAGGTGTTCCACTTGACATATGCCATGTACCATAATTTAAAATTCTCAACAATACATCTGTCACAAGGACCAGCTGTAAAAATATTTAGCAAAACCAAGAGAAGGGCTTGTTGAAGACTATTACATCGTCTTCATTGTAAATTTATTTAGACTGAAAAAAGGAGTTCATTTCAATCTTAATTTCTCAGTTATGTCAATGCAATGAGAACATGCTAATGCCATTTCATTTTCTTGGTGACTGCAAAATATTTAGCAAAATGTAATATAAAATAGGCTTTTTTCTTTTGTTTATATCTTGGCCAAGCTTAAGGCTTACATTTTAGAAAAGTTAACACACAAATCGATGCTAGATATTATGCAAATTGATTACTGTAAGATATAGGAATTGTTGACTATGGAATGAGCATGTTAAGTTCTGTTCTAATTGAGAACATGGATTTGAAAAATCAAACTACCAAAAGCAAAAAGGTGCTGCAAATACCTCCTTGTTTTCTTCTTCTCCTTGTATCGTGAGATAGCAGAATCTCTCTCCTGGCTGTTTAATTCATGTGTTACAACATCAACTGGTACTCCAATTGTAAAAGGTTGTGGTTCTGCTTCATGACCATCGTTTATGTGACTTGCACTGCCACCAATATTCAACTCGTTGTCAGGAACTGCACAGCTTTCCTCATAGTTGCTTCTTGGAAATGTAGAAGGAAAATAAACTTCATTTGCAGCTTCACCGTTATCAGTAAACCAGTTGGGCAGATTCTCCTGAATGAAGGAAAACTAATTTAATCCTCTTTAATTCCACTAAAAGAACATCTGGCAATTAGTAATCACAAGCCAGCCAATCATGCTCAGAAGTAACAGAGTTTTCATGCAAAAAATTATTAACCCTTGAGACAATGGGATAAAATGTAGACACAATCTAGCATAAACTGTATCTAAAACCCAGGGAAGGTTTATTTTGACATATAAACATTGTCTTGTACCCATTGATGTAAAAAACAGTTATGGAAAACAAGGGCTTACGATGGATGCAACCATTCATTTGCTGTTAGTTATGAAGCTGGGATGATGCTGGGATTTGTCAACCAGATGTGGCTTTTTTACCCTTTTTCTCTCCAAAGTTTTGTCCAAAAATTTAATGACGAGTTGGAATGGAATCTATGGCTGGATTAGCACACAACACCAATTCTGCTCAGCCCATATCAGTGGCCTTGAATCATTATGCTATGGAAGCTTTCATATTCATTGAATGACTTCAGTTGCATCTTTTTATGATATTGTAAGCTACCAATTTTAGCTAAACTAAATCCCACATTTAGCTCTGCAAGTTCTTATAGCTTACGCCTAAGGAGAAGAAGTTTGGCCAGACAATGAATTATACAAAGGTTTTCATGATATTATAACGATAAGAGGATATAAGAGGGATATAACATCTCTTCATGACAAGGAGATTCAACTCATCCAATCATGAAAGTCATGGCAAGAAAATTCAAATCATTTCATAAAAGTGGATGGTTGGGCTATGGCTTGAATCTACAAACAGTTCAAGTAGTATCACGTTAAAGGGTTAGACTTAGGAGGCTAAGAAGTTGCACAATTATGTGCCTAATAATGTAAACGTAATCGACGTGTTTTTTCCATGTGTTCACCTTGGTGGACAAGGAAGTTGTTACACATGTTTGCGTCACCTGCAAGGTTTTCTTCTCATTTGCCAACCCTGTAACCCTTGACCTTCCACATGGACCAGTATGCCAAGCCACCAAGACAACAAGAAGACTCATAATTACTACCACTTAGACTAAGAAAAGATAGGTTGATGATAATTTTGAATTCAAAGTCAGCCCAGCTGAGATTATTCTCCTTTCTTTCACATGTATATCACTATGGCAGTCTTAATAGGGATAATGAATTACCTCAACTTCAGAAAACTTGAGAGTTCAATCGACAACCAGACAATAATGGTGTGGCAGATAGATAAAAAGAAATTAATTCTACAACCACAAGCAGAAGTTTTAATGCTCACAAATTAAGGAAGGTAGAAAACATGAAAGTTCACAAAATGAAAGTCACTTTCATGTTGTAGCTCAATGGTGCCTATGCCGCACTCCCCCCAAGAGCTCTTGGGTTTGAGCCTCCCATGAAACCAAAAAGAAAGAATGAAAAGAATACAAGAAATTTCAAATCATGAAAATAAACAGAAAAGCTTTACCTCATGAGCAGCGAATGCACCAGGATCACCAACTGTATTTACATTCGGTGGCTGCAGATCAACATCCAGTGATTGGAACACATTGACAGGGCAAATGTCTGCATTTCCATACGAGTCAGGCTTCAATCTCACTAGTTCACGAAGCTGACAAAGTATTTCTTCCTTGTGCTGCCCACAAGCAGCGTTACGATTCTGATTCAAGAATGACATACTGAACCAAGTCAAAACCACAGTAGTCCATGGACAAAATTTGACAAGTAAACTTTCATTTCCAATACATCACGAATCCGAAACAGAAAAATTTTACACAAATTTACTTAAAGATTTAATTTTTAGAAAACTAAAACCTATCGGCAATGGCTAATCAAGCTTGCAGTTTTATTTTTCCCAGAAAACCATTTTAACTAATTCAGTCATAGAGCAAAAAATATACAGTGATGAGTCAATCAAACAGAGGTTCTACAAATCTGAATCAAATTCATGCAAATATCAACAAAGGAACCTAAAGGGGAACCGGAATTAGTCAATTAAAGTTGCCAGCAATCCGACAAAAAAAACCCATGTTTTTTTTTCCCCTTCTTCTAATTCAAACCAATTGAATCCTAATGCAACAACACGGCTTTGTTACCTTGAGGCTTTTCACTACAGCATAAGCAAAATAGTAACCTTCATGGAACTAAATATTAAAACCATCTGAACCTAATAAAAAACGCTCAAACACACTAATTTAAGCTTTACTATCATCACAAAGAAGCAAAAATGGATACTTGCCTTGGGCAAAGGAGGAACTCCTAAAGCTTGGAAAGTTGGACCCGAATCACTGGAAACTATCAAATCATCAATGCTAACAGCCGGGCTATCCCAAACAAACAGATCTGAATAACCATCATCAAGTCCCGGCCCCATAGACCCTTCACTTTCTTCTCTAAAAAACAGAGACTTTTTAAGACCCAGATCTTCAAACCCCAAAATTGCCATCAATTCATTCCCCGAAGGACACCCACTAAAACCCTCAACCGGCCTACGATTATGTGCGAAAGATAAAGAAGAAAGACTGTGTCTTTCCCAGTCACAGTTTTGGCAAAAAACAGAGTGCTCTGTTTCACAGAAGATTGAAACAGGGGATGTGTGACAAGCATCACAGAGCAGTGAACGAGTGTGCTTGGAGAAGAGCTGGTTTGTTGAGTGAACTTCATGGTCACAGGAGAGACAAAGCTTAGCTGAGTCAGCTCTGCAATATAGGATAGCTGTGGCGCCATTACAGTAGTCACAGAGTCTTTTTTGTTCTTGTTTGGGCTGCATGATGGTTGCCGTTTGCTGTTTTGGTTCATGCTGTTTAGGAGGTTTTTGGGGTTCAAGAGATTTTTTCATTTTGATGCTTTTGATATTTTTTTAATCAGCTTACTACAAGCATCGTTTAGTTTATGATTCCTGATTGATAAGGGCTTGTTAACTAATGTGTTGAATCAGACAGAAAAGGACGAGGAGCCTTGTCTTTCTTGTTCTCCAAGAACCATCTTCAAAATTGATTCTACTTTTTTTTTGTTAGATTTTTCCAACAACCAATTAAATGAATGATTTCTGATTTTGTTTTTTTTTTTTAACTATTTATTTTACTTCCTATATTTTATTTCATGACATTGCAGTTCTTATTTTAAACATTTTGATCCTCTAATTTTTATATATATGCAATTCAGTCTCTACGTAAGATATTTTTTTCAATTAAGCCTCTACATGTACACATCTATTTTAATAAAATATAGAAAAACTTGGTCAAAATTTAATAAACTAAATTAAAAACAAATAAGTGATGAACAAATAATGAATAATATGAAAAATAATTATTTTGTGCATGTGGTCCACAAACTTGTTCCACCCTAATGGAATAAAATTTTGATTGATTCTTATTCTATCTAATAATATACCAAACAATACATAGTTTGTTTGAAAATTTTTAAGTTTTTTAAAAAATAAACCTTCCATTGATTTCATTTAAATGCATTCAACCCTTTCAAGATTGAAATCTAAAACCTTTAAATTAGAAGTTACACTTTTATTGCGGGATGTTTCCCAGCTTGCTAATTTCTTCTCTTTAATTGAAAGTTAGAATGCAAATATGAATGGATTTTGTGAATTATGAAACGTGTGTATGTGTGTGTGTGTGTATATATATATATATAGCGTTGTGGACCACCGGAGATGAATGAAAGAGACATTTCAGAAAAGTGTGAAGATTTGGGTTGATATTTTATGTCCGTGGGACAAAAGAACCTGGTCGAAGTGGAACTGCCTCAGCCAGCCATACGGCGAAAGGAAAGGAAGGCAGGCAAATAGGGTAATCAAAAAGGTTGTGTAATCTGCATGAATTTCCAACGTCTTTCTATTATTTTATTTATTTTAATAGTCTCTTTTTATAGTTTTTTTAATAATCATATCTTTTCGTTCTTAATTTGTATCTTAATTTCATTTATTTATCTAAATTTTTAGATAACTGTATTGATTTTTTATGACAGACGATCGGCTGTTGATACATGATTTTTTAAAATATATATATATTTCAAAATACTTTTTTTCTCTATTTTTATATATAGAAATAAATAATTAATTTCATCATTTATTTTTTTGCTTTCTCTTAAATTCAAAAAAAAAAAAGAAGAAATTTTTTATGTAAAAGAAGGAACATAAGCAATTTATTTCTTTATTTATTTCAGAAATTTATTACAAAAATCTGTTTTTAATCAACCCAAAAAATAATTGTGAACTTTCTTATAGGATTTGAAATAAATTTCTGAAATAAATATAATTTTTTTTTTGCTTCTGTTCCTACCTATACATAAAAAATTTACCTTTTTCTATTTGACTTTGAGAGAAAGTCAAAAAAAAAAAACAATTTGAGGAGTGAAATTAATTATTTATTTCTATATAGAAAGGTGGAGAAATAAGAGAGGTAGTTTGGGATTTTTATATTTTTTTCAGATTTTTTTTTGTAATTAATTTTTTTTAAAATCATGTGTCAGCATCATATGCGTCTATCATTGAAAATTGATACAATTATCAGAAAATTTGAATAAAGACATAAAATTAAGATACAAATTAACAATAAAAAAACACGATTATTAAAAAAATTAATAAAAATATACAAATAAAACAAGATAAAGACATCTTGTACCTTTAACCTGTTAAAAAAAAGTTATGCTATGCCACTCTAATTCCGTGCAAAATTATTATGTACTAGTAGTATTAGTTGATACCGCAAGCCTCTCGTGCTTTTCTTTTCTTTCTCTAATTCTTTAGAGCTTATTAATCTAAATTGTTTCATGATTTTTTATTCAAAGAAATATCTTATATTTGATTGAAAATTACTTTTGACATGATAAAAAATTGTTTCTATATTTGACTCAATTTTTTTATTAAATCAAAAATTAAAACTTTAACTTATTGCTTTCTTCATTTTTGCTATTTCTATTTTTAAAATAAATTGCTTTCATTCATTTGGGCAAACATAGTTTTAACTTTGTTATATGATTCACGAAAAAATAAATTATAAATTACAGCTCAAAGTCAACTATTAATTTTCCTAAATCAAGCCAGGCTCGAGTAGATTTATTTTAACTTCAAAACAACTGTTTTCGACCATATCAAATAACACGAGTTCTGATTCTACAAATATATATATAAAAAAAAAAAAAAGGAAAAAAAAAAGAAAAAGAAAAAGAAAAAGAGAAGAAACGGGTCTTAAAGTTAAGCTACCAGAATTGTTCGGATTGCTAGCCTAGGTTCAATTCTCATATGTAAATAGACTTGCAAGGTTAGCTATAAGGAGTAAATTATAAATTAATCTCTATAATTTTGCAAAATAAATTAAATAGCTTATTATATTTTAAAAATTAATTAATTAGTCTTTTCACAATATTGATTATGGTTAATTTATATTATTTTACTTTAAAAATATCTTATTTTCTTATCATTCTTTTCATTATTTATTTATTTATTCTTTTCTCTATTTATTAAAATAAAAAATAAATTAAAAAAGATGAAATTACAAATAGATTTAAAAATACAAAATTGATTAATTAATCATTAAAAGAAAAACACTAAAAGAGGTGGTGATTTTACTATTTTTAGCCTGCTTATAGTGACTCATTTACATTTTGGAATTATTTCTATTGTGCAGCTTTTTTTTTTTGTTGCATCTTGATCGTTGTTTCCTTGTTGCAAACCAACTGTTTCAGTGTCATCCATTGAATTTTTCTCATTGATGCAAGATTTTGAATTTGTTTATTTTTGGGTTTTGTCAGCAATCAACCTCCCTTATATTATGTACTTAATTTCTTTAATGCCATTAACTTTATTATCCTCGGCTTATTATCTTTCCTTACTCACTTTTGTACCTTTTTTTACAATTTTTCTCATTTATTGTTGCTGAATTACGTTTCATTGTGCTAGAAAAGAATCTAGTCACGTGAAAAATATTTTTTTTAGCTTTAATGAAAAAAATTATAATTTTTAGAGTAAAAATACTTATGTTATGAGTGTTTTTTCCTCTTTTAGTTTTTTTATGTTATTTTTATGATTAATTTCAATATAAATTCACACGTTTTTTTTCTTTACACAATTACAACTAAATCTAATCTCTAAATCAATTACAAAGAATCCTAAAACAAGTGGAGTTTTTATTGTTCACACTATTTACAAAACATTGTTCATTGGATGATATTTTTATGATTTAAATTACTAGCATTTTCGTTATTTTAAGTGTTTTTTATGAATTTAATAAGCTCATGACACTGTTCACTCAAATGTTATCATGTATTGAATGGTATTTTTTTTTTTTAAATTTGAGGTTTTTTCAAACATTTTATATATAAATTTTTGCTCATATTGTTCGTTCGTCTCTTTTTTTTAACAGTTTTTATTTTGATTTATAACTTTATTTGTATTGTAGTCTGATCCCTAAATGTTAAAAGGAGATAAAAACAAAGGGAGAGAAGGAAGGATATAGAGATCTATGTGTAGATTTTTTAATAAATTTTTAGGATATTGTTATTTGCTTTTAAAAAAATTGATAAAACTTATATGATAGATTCTTTTAATTTAGATGATATTAGTATAGTTACACACACATACAATGTATTTTTAGAATATTGCTCTTAAAAAAATTAATATAATTTACATGATGAATTCTTTTAAGCTAATTTATCATAGATTTTTTAGAAAAAAAAATTATAGTTAAGAATCCATGGATTTTTAAATTTTCTTATAAGTTTTAAGTTAAGAATCAGGATACAAAAGAATAATCTTGTTCTTTTTAGTAGAAAATTTATGAAAAATACAATAAATAATAAGTCAAACACAATTTTTTTAAAAAAAATAAGGGTTTTTTTTTAACTACAATTTGATATATTTTAATAGACTATAGTATAGCATAGTCTATCAAGCTAAAATTATTTTTTAAAATAATTTTATATATTATGCTCGACTTATAATATGGCACAGGTAAAAAACTAATTAAAACTAAGGGACTATTTAATTTCTTTTAAAAAATAGAAAGACTAATTTATAATTTACTCCGGCCATAAAGAGAGGGGGAATCTACTAGAGAACCCCAGACTTTCTGACTGGAACAAAAATCTAAGTTCAAATAGTTGAACACCCCCGGCTATGGCCCACTTGAATATGTGTCCATCGTGAAACAAGATATTCAAGTTTAAAATTGGATTTTCTCTTTGCTACCACCAACTTCTCCCTTGCATTCGCCTAGTCATGCTAAATTGTTAATATTCCACGGGAATCAGTCAGAGGTGGGAACCATAATTTTATTGACGAATCATCGGCAATAAAGGTAAATCTATAGATTAAAAGACCAAAGAAACACGATTTTCTTTACAGGCAATTCATGTCCTCCCACCAAATCAACTAAAACCACCTTGCATGAAATTAATTGGATCTAATGAACAATCTGATGCCATATAAATTTGCAGATGAAAAAGTATAAACAAGGTTGGCGTCTCAAAGTTCCCGACATCATTTGTTGATTGACAAACACTTCATGTATCGCCAGGTGTAGCAATCCTACGGGTATTATATGAAGCGCACTGTTTGCACTTGTGCCCAACAACGTGAAAAGCGACTTTGCTAGTACTGTTGCAGTCGTTGCAGAGGATTGTAACCTGAAAAAAAACCCCACGCAAATGACAGGAATTCCACATTAAGGACTTTGCTTGCAGCACAAAGAAACGGACATGCATCCATGTTTACTTGTGTGTGGTCGGGTGGCTGGGGGTACGTGTAATTATAATGGATGTTTACATGTCTCAATTCCCAAACCCAGGACAAGTAGATCAATGGCGCAACCTACCAAAACATTGTGAATGGAAGAGCAAGAGTTCCAGCTTTTTCCAGAAAGAAGAATAGCTAGCTAAATTGCATTGACTAAAGGCCCACTATTGTCGCAGATCTCCTCACCTATCTTCATATAATTGATCAATCTTTTACTTTGTTAAATTTTGAAACGCCTTTGATCTGTCTTTATCGTTTGATTGGATTTCTAATCTATCATTTCGGTCATTTATTCCAACCAAATCACCTAAGAACGTCTTTGACAAAATTGTCACTTACAGCTTAATATGTTAGGTTTCTAATTGTCTTTATATAATAGATTGAGTTTTTAATATGTCTTTATTGCTAAAGAATCTATTATACTATTGTTATTAATTTTACTAAAATGTGTTGCAAATTTTATGTCAATTAAAAATATATAAAAATAATTAGTACAAGTTATTATGTAATCATTTAAGAAATTGTCATTTAACATATTTTTAATACTAAAATGTCCATTATATTATAATAATTCATTTATTTATAATATTGAATAAGTTGATATAATATTTACCAATATATTAAATCATCTTTATTAAAAAAAATGCTAAATGCGTGCAAAAAACAAATAATTATTTAATTAAAAAAGATAATTATTTTTTAATTACGTCCTTACAAGACTAATTAACAATTACTTAACTATAATTATTTTTTAATTACATGCTTAATATACTAATTAAAAATTACTTAAATGTAATTATTTATTTTTTAATTCTTTGAACAGTTACATACTAACTTGTATTAATTATTTTTATATACTTTTAACTAACAAAAAATTCACTATAATACAACAAATTATTAAAAAAATTACTAACAATAATATAATATATTTCTGAGCATTTAGAATAAATTGAAAACTCAACCAATTATATAAGGATATAGTGGAAACTTAGCATGTTAAACTACAATGGGGATTTTTGTGAAAAAAAAAAAGAAATCAAGCATAAGTCATGTGACATTTTTGAGTGGTTTGATCGGAAAAACTGATCGGAAGGACAAATTGAAACCAACTCAAAAAATAAGGATAGATTGGAGGCATTTTAAAATTTAAAAACAGATTCAAAAATTGATCTATTATATAAGAATATGTGAGGGTATTAACCCTAATATTTACTAGGAAGTTTCAATAGTTTTCAGAAACTTAGTTTCAAACGACCGATATGATAGACCAAATGAAGCTTCAAGAAGCACAGCTTTACGGAAACATCAGCCGAAAGACTAACTCATCCTCCACAATGAAGAATGCTACATTTCACAAGGCCCTCTAATGCATATTCCCTTTTCTTTTGCCAGTTAATATCAATAAAGAAGGAATTGTTCAAAGAAAACCATCTACACAGAGATAAAAACAGACAGCCTGCTTTTCAGAATGAAATTGAGGGAGGCCCCAGCCCACCCTTCTATAGTTCATTTTTTTCAGATATCCAAGGACGAGCTACTTTAAAGAATATTTAGTGGCCATTAGTATGATAAAAATTCGAGTTAATTTTGAAAGTCTGGATACTTTGAATAATAGAAGGGGGGTCGTTGCAGGTTTGTGATAATCAAATTGAAACTGAAAAAAAAATGGACAAAGTGACTACCTCATACCGGTATTGCTCGGGCATTGGAACCGCCTCAATCTATCAAAAGAAACTTCCCCAAATTATTGCAGAATTCCAATTTGTAGAAATTAGTCAGAAAAAATTATAACTAATAGTGACTATAATTATCATCGCTTCAAAGCAACTATTCAATAGTCAAGCAAGATCTACAGAAGAAAAAAAGAACCTCTTCACAACAGATACAGCTACATGCTAGATAAATTACTGCTCCCAGTTAACAATATATGTACAATAAAGCCAGCCTAAAGCAGCTACTAAGCTCAGTTAAAAGAAACTCATAACATGTTTGACCTCTAGCTAGTTGTTCTGTATCAGGGGCATCAAGATTGCTGAATGAAAACTCAGGCTCCTCAACTTTTCTTTAACATGTCCATCAAAATATATGGTTTACTTGTGCATTGTGCACAGAGGGTTGAGCAAGTCAAGCTTTGAGATTCCCATCCAAACTTCCCCATAAGAAATAGAAGCACCAAGTCAATCCAGGCAAAGAGAGGGAGTTCATGGGAGAGGAAGGAAGCTAGGTGTCTTTGAAACAGTTGCGGGTAAAAGGTATCATAAAGTCTATGGAGAGAACCAGAATCTATGGTGAGAACCAGAATCAAGTCAGCTAATTGCATGTTAGCATCAATCCTATCTTGTCCATCCAAATTACCTTTGACATTAACAATCTTGCCATGTTGTCCATTAACCATTTAATATCATTACTTGGTTGCATGAGATCAACTCATATACAAGTACATCTGCACTATAGCGCAGTCAATTAGCCACTGATGTGTACCAACCTTCGTTCCATACCACACCAATATATCCAGAGTGCCAGATAACAACCTATTCTTCCAAGGCATGTCTCATACTAAAGAGAATGCATGTCTCATACTAAATGAAGCAATTTTTCATTTAATTTGATATAAGCATGAATTATAGTTCAAACTTTTGCAACAATTCTGTAAGGGGGAAATTGTCAAACCTCCTCATCTAGCATTTGCCAATAAGCTGAGGCTTTCATCACCGTCTTGGAGCAGATCGGACAACGATACCTGGTAACCAAATTAAAAATGTTATATAAAAAACATAATAACTTGCTAAAATCAATAAAAAAGAATAAGCAATTAGATAATATCTATGAAGCTTACTGCTGTTGTTTTGCCATTTCATCAAAGCATTCCATGTGCATGGTGTGTCCACACTTCATAACAATTACTTTTTTAACTGAGTAAAAAAGATACTGTTGGCACATTACATCACTGTCAGAACATACAAATTCTTCTTCATTCTTATACATTTATGTGAGTCAACACAAACCTCATAACAGACAGGGCAATAATTCTTCATGGCGTTCTCAACACATGAGTGATTATCACGCAGAACAACTTGATAGCAAGATCCTGTGCGCTTAAAATCATTAGAGAAGAGAAAGCAATGCCCAATTGGTCTGCAAACTAATAGGCATCCACAAGATATTCAACAGGCAGCTAGGAAATTGCATGCAGAACCCAAGGACAGAATGCTGGATGATAAACTATTGGTAGAGAATTTCCTTTTAAAATGGCCACTGGCTATGTAACATTTTGAACAAGTGTTTATACACTAGAGAGACCAAATGCGAATTCAGATTGCTCAATCTAGACTGCTTTTGTTATGTTATGATAAATCTCCAGTTTATAACTTCGTACAGGATCTAATGGTAGCTCCTCAATTCTGTTAACTTAAATCCCTAATTTCTTCCTTTTCAGCCCTCAATTGCCTACCCAGAAAGCTTCATTTTATTATATTGTATTCTGGTCTTCAGTTCCATCAAAAGCTTGAGAATTTTTCCAAATGGATATATCTACTATCAGCAAGCCTTCAAGCAATAAACCAGACAGTAACTAATAAACTATAAATAAATTGTCCACCTAAAAAAAAAATCTTTCGAAACATAAAACTATGCATAGAGCTCGAGCCTTCTAAGCAGACTGGTGGAAAAAGTTATCGATTTCAGGAATCTGATCCTCTGATTCATTGCCAAAAGATTCCAATGGTGGAGACTGTTCTAAATTTTTTGTATCCATATTACCTTAAAGGCCTAAAAATATTGTAGATGAAATTTCAGTTTTTGCATCAACGCTAAGAAACTTTGAACAACCTATATTATTGTTCCAAAAAAAAAAAAAAAAACACCTAAATTATAGTCATTTTTTTGCGTATATGTGCACGCTCATGCATGTGCATTATTCTTATACAAGCAATAGACATGAAAGAATAGAAAAATTGCCTAAAATGGATCAATTTCTCAAGATGCAGAAGTCCAGACACCCCAGCTTTACCAAATTCTGGTTCAAGGGGAACTGTATGCATCCATGCCACAGGGCCGCATCCCAACTCAATATGGGATGCATACAGCTTTGCATTGCAAGAAAATTGAAAAGAAGGTATCTGTAACAGGTCTACATGTTAAATTATACAGCCCTCACAGCTCTCAACCATATTTACTACTATTTATAACAAATTAAATTAAATCAGGAGTATCTAATTAATAAAACGATACAAGTCATAGTAAGCCAAAAACAAAATCACAGCCTGCAGGAACTTTAAATGCATCTGATTCAAGGACAAAAATTACCATCATTAAAAAACAAAGTGAAAAAACAAATGATTGAATCACAGTGCCAGAAAAGCAACGAGCTACATACCACATTTCTCACAGTGAAAAAAGTTTTCACGGCCACCAAGTCTGAAAACAACAATTTAAGTAACAGTAAACATAAAACAAATAATGACAATAGGAACACATCAAGAAGAAAAAGGAAAGACATCGTCTCTAAGAAATTAAGCTAGCTATGGTTTGAATGTATAATGCGAGTCTCTTAACTAACCTACAGATCCCACATCCATCACAATGGAACTGCTGTTTGCTCGTCTGCAACAAATCAAAACCACCACAGTTAACATGTCTAACTGTCATTAATCTCAATATAGAATAAATCAATATTGACTTACATCATCATCATAGAATTTACAAATATCACAAAAATATTCACCCATCTTGACACCACAGCTATTGCAAACATGAGCAACCTGGGAAAAAAAAAACATTTGAGATTCAAGAGTGTTTATGGCTTTTCTTTAAACCCACACGAGTTATCCATACCTCTTGCTCTGTGTTGCAAACTGAACAAATAACCTGTTACACCAATTATTTATCACAATCAAAATATCCCCATAAGCAAAGAAGGAAAAAAAATTAAGAAATTGAGCATACTTGTTTAACATCGTGCCTGACTATTTCATGACGATCCATGGGATTGCTCAGCGTGCTCTAAAACACAAAAAAACAAAAAAAAATTCCTGAAACTGAAAAATTAAAGAAATAATGGAAGCGGAGAAAGGGAGATGGTTAGCTACGGTAGCTTCGTTATGGCAGTGGCGGCAAGAAAAGATTTGGTTACAACATGGAGCTCGGATTTTGCATCTTCTCCGGTAATGTTCGCACCTTTTATTATAATTATAGCACCAAAAAAGAATGAGAAAAGCAGAATAAGAAAAAAAAATTTTCCAACGACGAGGTGAGAGAGAAGAGACCGAAAGGATACAGACCCGTATTGGGTTTCCAATTTTACAGGTTGCTGCTTCTCTGTACTTGTATGAGACGGAGAAGCAGTATTTTGCTCTTCTTCCATTGTGGACTGCTGTTGCGGCTGCGGTTGCGGTTGCGGTTGCGGTTGTTCTCTATTGTATCAGCGACAACATAGAAAGGCCTGATTTTGTTTGGGATAACTGGATCATGAGTACACCAATATTTAACATTTTATCCATGAAGTATGCATTTTTTTTTTGTACTTTTTTTTTTTTCAAAATTATACCATTTAACTTGTAAATTGCTCCATTATTTAATAACAAATAATAATTTTTTTAATTTCAAATTATTAAATTATAAGTTGTCCTTTTATTTTCGAAGAAAAAATTTTCTCCCAACTTATTTTGTTATTTTCTATTTTTCATATAGTAAATTATTAAATTATTCTTACATTTAAAATGTAAAAAATGATTAAATAATTTGAGAAGAAAATTCTTTTCTAAATATATATTGCTGGGACTTCCAAAAAAATCTATTAAAATTAAAAATTGTTTGTTGTGATTATTTACTAAGGATGTGAGTTAAACCATGTTTTAGAATGATTACCTAGTAGTAAGGTAATTAAAAAACCTAAAAATGATACTTGGTTCGGAGATTTAGGATAAGGAGTTGGTTATGCTTTTAAGAAGATATCAATTATCCAAAAATACCATTTTTGAAGAAAAGTATCATTTCTGCTTTAATTCTTAAAGCTTATCTCCTAAAAAATATATTATTTGCCAAAATTATTCTCAAACCAAAGTTCCAAGTTTTATTTCCTAAGCCAATTAATTTTTTATTTTTATTTGTGGTATCATATTGAATCGATCGTCGAACCTCGTCCTCGGAAGTCTCATCAATTTAATATAGAATTCGAGTTTAAGTTTTGAAATAACCGATATATCAAAAAACGATTTAATTGCTAAAGTGATTGATTTGAATTAACAACGTTCGTCTCGTTGGATAGAAAACTAGTTAAAATTGCTTAAAACTCTTTATTTCTTTTTTGTTATTTTTCTTCATTAAACTAAAGACATTTTATTTTTAGACATGCAAGAAAAATCTTTTTTATTTATTCATAGCATCGTATTAAATTAACGTTGAACCTCAAGATTTGAGAGTCTCATCAATTTAGCATCGATTCGAACTAAAGTCTTGACACGATGGATATATTGAGGAATGACCTAATAAACTAAAGTATTTACGTGAAATGCTTGAATAAAATCGACCGACTTGACTTATTATTATTATTTTTTCAGCATATTTAACACTAAACAAATGTATCGAACCACAATTCATCTCTCATAAATAGGAGACTCGTTGGTCCAACATCATAATCGGTTGCCATACATTAAAATAAATTTCACAACTTAAATATTTCTAAGTTTTCTAACACAAATAAAATCAACATTATTATAAAACAACATAATAAGGTAATAATAAAAAAATCGGTAAGAGAAATAAACCAAATGATCATTAAAAAGTGGTAAAAATGCCCTAGCAATGCTTTTGGAAAATGACCAAAATGCACGTGTCAAAATTACCAAAACGCCTAACATGTCAAATTACCAAACTACCCCTCGAAACCCCCAACACCGTTCGTTGCTCTCTTCGATCACCATCCGATGTCTTTCGTGTGCATCAACCGGTTTGCATGTTAGAGGAGGTCCTCGTTAGTCATTTTGTGGGTTGTAGGCTGTCGTCGTTGATTGGGGAGGAAGATCGACGTTTTTGAAGGTTCAATCGTTTCTTCCTCTCTTTCCAATGAAGATTTTGACCACAATGAGGCAAGGAGAGACCACCAAATTATTAAAAGGACGACATGGAGCATATCTATAATGGTTCGAAGGTTTGATTTGATCGGATAGAAAAGATTTTTCCGGGTTTGAGATAAATAAGTAAACGGATCGAGAAAACTTCTCCTCCTTGATTCGAGTTGTTTTTAGTGAGATTTTGCTATGATTTCAAAAGGAAACAACCTTTGGGAGGATAAGGGACACTTTTGTGGTGGTGATTGTTGATTTGACTAAAAAATGATGATCTTAGTCGGTACAAAATTGGGTTGGGTCATTTGCCTTCTCTCCTCGATTTCTCTTTGCTTTGGTGTTGCCTTCTTCCCTAACCGATCGGGAACGATGGGTCTAGTGGTGGGCTAACTATTGGTAATGGTGGATTGAAAAAAATTTGATCGATGGACAACCGATTTGAGGGAGGAAACCGATGGGTCCGTGGGTTGATCGGTAGGTGATCCAGGGTCGAGAACCTCTTCGAGGGTTTGTTTGGTAGAATCTTCTTTTCTTTTCTTTTTTTCGATTTTTGTTCTCTTGGGATTTGTATCCTGCAAACTTTTTAGAGAGATGATGAATACTAAATTTTAACATTTTGGTTAAGTTTTTTTTGTGGGCGGGGATTATAGGTATTTGTTGCTAGATTGTTTTATGATAGATGAATAGTTAAGGCTAGTTTGTTTTTTGTAAGAAGATAGGTGATGAAGGCTAGGGTTTTTTCAGTAGAAAAATGAATGATGGAGGTTAGGGTTTTTAGGGTAGGAGATGAATGATGGATGATAGAGTTTTTTGAAGTAGGAGCAATAATGGCGGCCCTCCCAAAAAATGAGGTGAAAAAGAGTTTTTAAAGGGAATTTTTTTAGGGTTTAGGATAAAATCAAAATTGCCTAATCCTTTGTCCATTTCTTTCAATTTCGAAGCACATTTTATTGTTTTTTCCCAATTAGCTCCTTAATTGAAATTGTTTAATTCTTATTCTCTTGATTTCTTTAATTTTCATTGATTAATTCTCAATCATGTTCCTTGATTTTTCTTTTATCCTTAAATCCCTAATTGAATGTGATTTGGTCCTTGCTTTTACATAATTTTCAATTGGATCTCAAATATTCTTCCTAAATTTTCTTTTTCTTTTTTATTTTTTAATTAAAAATGGAGAATAATTCTAAAAAATTGAAATCCTAAAAATGCCTAAAAATTAGGAAGAAGACAAACTTTGAATTTTTGAATTTCTCTCTTTTTTTTTTCCTTTGAAGTTTGAATGAAAATGAACGAGAGGATCAAAAAATGGTTTATGACAATATAAAAGGATAAAATTATAATTTAATATTTAGAAAAAAAGATACATCATCTCATAATGGAGTAATTCACAGTATTTGGACGAAAAATAATTAATTGATTGTTTTAAAAATTTTTGCACAAACAAAAAAGTTTAAAAGTTGATATACTTATATTAGAATTATCCTGATTTTGTTTTGTGGAGTAAGCTTCATTTTTTACCTTGCAGATTCATTGCTATTCTATTTCTATCTTTATTGTTTAAAACTTTACAGTATTCTCATACCAAACCTATTTAATATTTCTACCTCTTGTACTTTACCTTTAAATCTTATGTTATTGACATTTCTTTTTCAAAATTTTAACTCCACATAAACGCAATTTAAAATTTAAATTGAAAATCTGTAAAACCTATGGAAAAAACATTGAAATATTTTAAACCATTAGTATTCGTAAAGCATGTGTAGCAATAAAACTTGCATAAAATATTTAAGTTAATTTTAAAATTGAAATATTTTTTTGTTTATAATTTTTTTTAAGAACCAAATAAAATACGTTCTATAAATAAAATAATGTCTTTCTTGACACAATTATTATAATTATTGAGTAGTAGTCATCAAACAAAATAAGTAAAAGTTACTCATCATAATAGATCACCTTCTTTTTCCTTACATGTAGGTTTAAAATATACATGACCAGTTGAGAAGGATGATAATAATAATGATAATAATAATAATAAAATAGAATACACTGACTTTTTATTTTATGAATACATTAATTAAGGTCATCAATCTCTATTACTACTATTACTTTTTTTGTTTTCACTAACAAAGGGTTAAAAAGTAGGAATAGTTAAAAATATTAAAAAAGAAGAATTAAGAAAGACAATTCAAAATAGAAACTAATTAATAATTAAATGTTAAGACAGTAAAAAAGGAAAAAAAAGTTTATGATTTTTAGTGCTTATAAGTGAGATAATGACTAAATCAATCACTAAAATATAAAAATTATAAAACTATTTTTATCGAATCAAATATTATCATGGACTTTTAATTGAAATTATTTAATCTATATTCTTTTGATTTTTTTTTAATTTCACATTGATTAATTCTCAATCAAATTTCTTGATTTTTTTAATCCATACATCCCTAATGGAATGTCATTTAGTTCTCACTTTTTATATCATTTTCAATTAAATCCTAAACCATCTTTTCAAATTTTCTTTTTCTTTTTTAATTAAAAATGGGAAATAATTCTAAGAAATTGAAATCTTAGAAATTTATAAAAATGCCTAAAAATCATGAAAAAGACAAACTTTGAATTTTTGAATTTTTTTTCTTTGAATTTTGTATGAAAATGAACGGAGGATCAAAAAATGGGTTATGACAATATAAAAGGATAAAATTATAATTTAATAGTTTTGAAAATAAAAAAACATATCATCTCATAATGGAGTAATTCACAGAATTTGGACGAAAAATAATTAATTGATTTTTTTAAAAAATTGGTATAAACAAAAAAATTTAAAAATTGATATACTTATATTATAATTATCGGGATTTTATTCTGTGGAGTAAGCTTCATTTTTACCACTACAGATTCATTGCTGTTCTATTCCTATCTTTATTGTTTAGAACTTTAGAGGATTCTCATACCAAACGTATTTAATATTTCTACCTCTTGAACTTTACCTTTAAATCTTATGTTATTGAAATTTCTTTTTCAGATTTTTAACTCCACATAAACACAATTTAAAATTTAAATTGAAAATTTATAAAACCTATGGAAAAAATATTGAAATATTTTAAACTATCAGTATTCTTAAAGCATATGTATCAATAAAACTTGCATAAAATATTTAAGTTAATTTTAAAATTGAAATCGTTTTTGGTTTACAATTTTTTTTTAAAAATCAAATACGTTCTATAAATAAAATAATGTCGTTCTTGACACAATTATTTTAATTATTGAGTAGTAGTCATCAAACAAAATAAGTAAAAGT